AGTTGATTGATTGTATTTTGATGTAATATCCTATTTGAAAAATTAGGTACAACTTGTTTTTGTTATGGTAAAACTTGAATAATTTGAATTTGATTTTTGAACTTTCTTAAGTCAACTTGTTTTAATGATATTTAAATTGATATATATTTTTAAATAAAAATCTATATTCTTATATTTAAAAAATATTTAAATAATCAAAAATAAGGATTTATTTTAATTAATCAAATAATCAGGATTTATTTGAATTTTTAATAAACATGAATTGGAATTAAATATAGAAAACTTAATAAATATAAATATGAACTGAATTATAATTTCATCATGTTATCCAATATATATATAAAATAAAGAATCATGATTTTTATTATTATATTTCACTATAGATATCATCATATTTTAAGTTTATCAAGAAATACCTTACACATTAAGGATCACTTTCTCATTGCAAATAACATATAATTAGAAAAGCTAAGAAACAAATGTTTTCAAAAATATTTATGCATGTACATGTGGTATATGTACCTCAATTAATTAAAATCATGTGTACAACTAAAAATATTTCTTTTAAACATTGTATAACTAATTAGAACAAAAAAATAAAAAAGTACAACTTGCCAAAACGAGTACAACTTGTAACTTTGGTACAACTAGTGCATTTTGGCGGCTACACATGTGTCTTTTGGGCGGCTACACGTGTCTAATGTGGATCACGTGTTTGTTGTTTGGTCCTTTTTTTTTTCCTACATTTAAGAATTTAAAAAAATTCAATTCCAAATTGAAATTGAAAGAGGGAATCAGGAATCGGGATAGTTAGGATTTACTGTCCTTTTACTCTCTTCACTTCTTCTCCTTCTTTCTTTCTGGGTTGGTGCGATTTCGTCTATTATTTTGGGTTTGCTATTTATGAGAATGAGCTGCGAATCTGGAACATCGGGAATCTTATGTGGGATTTATGTGGTTCTCTTCTTGTGATAGGGCTGGGAATATCGTACAATAAAGTGTAACTTGTTCTTCGTAGTACAACTAAGTATAACTTGTTCTTCGTAATGGTACAACTAAGTATAACTTGTTCTTCGTAATTGTACAACTATGTATAACTTTTTCTTATCGTACGATATGATTGTAATTTTCCCTATTGGCTTAACTTTGTTGGCAATTTGAAGTTAATTCGTGTATTTGGATTGTATTGTATTGTTGTAAATCTTGTATTTTGTAATAGTACAACTCGTATTTAGTTATACCAAGTTGTACATATCGTTGAATCCCCAGAATTTGATTTCGATTTTGAATCTGTTTCTTCATAATCATCTCCACGAGTCCCATTTTCTTCTACGATTGCATCTGTTGCCTTTTCGATTTCACCTACTAGATCTGATTCTTTGTTAAAGCTTGTGTTCTTTGTACGCACCATTCTCTTATCATTCACACAAAATAAATAACCGCAAATTAACAACATACTTGAGTAATAAACAAAATCAACAACCCCAAATTAGATTAACAAATCGAAAACACCTAAATCGACAACATCCAAGCGGATCTAACATTAAATACCCAAAGAATCATTGATTTTGACTTACCCAGAATCAAGTTGTCCTTAGTTGTACTCGACGAACTGCTTGTGATTTTTGGATTTTTCAAACACTTAGGATTTGAGAGTTTTTTGATTTTTCAACCGATGAGGAAGACAAAAGGGTGAAAGATCCGATAGTTATCCAAAAGTGAAATGGGTTTTCGGATTTTATGTGGTTGGATCTGTAATTTTTAGGTTTTAGTAAGGGTGAGTATGTATTTACACCCATTTTTGATTTTTTTAAATAAATTAATTATTTTTTCCTTTGGTCAAACCCTTATTAGAATAAGGATATAGGTCAATGGGCATAAAAGATTTTGGTCCGATTACGTCTGTCGGAGTTTCGATTCTTCGCTTCTTCCCAAGACAAATAAAGTTATCTTTCGTTCTGTTCTATACTATTTGTAACTCTACTTCTATATTCTGCATATAGACTCCAAGCATAGGTTTTTTCTTAATAGATTTTGAAAAATTCTACTAATTTTCATGTTATATTTTAAATTATATGAAAACATCAATTACACGTTGTTAAATATTCATTTTTAAAAATATCTCCGTTGTTATGACAATCAAGATTTGCATGAGTTAGGTTCTATGTTATTAAGCAAAACTTCATGATCTATGTTTTCTACATATGTTTTATTGAAAGCTAGAGCTTAAAGGTCACGCACCCACGCGTCTGGACGTAATCAGGATTAGATTCACTGACACCCTAGTAAACTGTAACTTGTTATAACCGTTCAGTAAAAAAAAGTAATCTCGGTCGGATCCTGTGACTCGACTTGACGCCACGTTAGTTGTTAGTTAACTTTCGCGCCCTTTGACTCTTCGTAGCGATCCTTTTCATGTCACTTTCTTTTTTTACTTTACTTTTTTTTTTTTTTTTATGCTTTAACAAATTTTATGTTGACATACATACTTTTTTTTTCCCAACTTTTTCATTAAAGAAAAAAACTTTTAAGTCTTTAACACAAACAAATCCAACCCTTTACAACATTATGGAAGTACAGCAACTTATATTCATGATTTATAAACATAATTATTGCTTATCATATGAAACATAAAATCACAAATTCTAATTTCCGTTATCAAAGGATCTAACTTCTTTTTGGGTGTATAAGCTTACCGTTGAGCTTATCATCTCATCATATGATTAGTTTTTCGTTGTTGTTGATGATTGCATCTAAACTTTTTTTTCTTTTTTGGGGGTAAATTTGAATCTAAACTTTTTATATAACGAAACTGTCGACTGAAGTAAAAATCTTATCGATCTTGCATTAAATATATTAGATGTTCGTTATTAATACTATTACACCAATATTTTATGGACCACTTTGCTAGTACATGCAATATAAGGCAACTGATGATATGTATACTTGATTGGAGATTTTTAATTTTCTTGTAAATCGATTTACATTGTTACCACCACACCTTGCTTCATGAATAAGAATTCATCATCTAAGTACTTCACATGTTTGAGTTGAGTCAATCATATATATAGTATAGAGATCCCCACACCAAAGGAGTCATTCTTGTTTCAATGAAAACATTACATTAATTGTTGATGGTGCCATGACAGTACCTCTCAAATCTGGGGATGCAGGAATACTTACATAAACGATATTAACCTAATTGAGCCACACATCAATAAGTCCTCAAATATAGGATTCTTTTTTCTTGTTTAATGTTGAGAGCATAAAAAATAAATTATTAATTAAAGGTTAGAGTACTAAAATTAATCATATAGTGACGCCTGCATCAATGCTAGCTCCACACAGTACATTCTTTCAGCGAAAATAAAACACAGTTAATGATATGCCATAATAACATCAATAAATTATTGGTTCATCTTTGTTAGACAAAGGCCTGGATGAAATGAATATAATAACGGTCATTAACTAGATTTGTGTTTATGACCTTAGAGGAGTGTCATTATTAAAGCACACATTTTACATAATTTAATGTAATATCGCAAGCCATTACAGAATTACTTAACATTATCTCTAGCCTTTGTTGTTTGGTCATGAAGAAAAAAACATGATACGGACGAACCATGCCGTTGAACATTAGTCCTCGAGACCGATGGTCGAGTTGATCACACAAAGAGACATAAATTAGCACGTAGCAATAATAGCCTTATATAGTTATATTATATATACTTGCGAACATATCTTTATTATCTGTTGTGGATTTAGACATCAATGTTCACCATAATCACTTAGTTTAAGAAATGAAATTTGCTTAATATATATATTAATCATTTACAACCTTAAACATTCTCATTGTTAATCATTCGCTTCCCGTTTGGTCGAGGCCCACGATCGAGATATTAATATCGTAATCGAACCTTATACAGTAATATTTAATTTATCATTTCAAGTTTTCAACCCCAGATGATTAATTTTTGCGGGTGCGAGTCTCTGTCTGTCACAGATATGGCATTTGTTTTGGAATTTTATTGGGTTATAGATAAACGTGGAAATCCATGGGCCGTATATAATAAGATAGTGGGCTTAAGGTCAAATATATTGGCCCATTAAAAATTCAGAGCTCATTCTTATTCACTCTATCACTTCATCAGTATTCCGTTCTTTATTTCTTTTCCTTTTTGGAAAATAAATGATGGTAGTAGTATTGTAATAATGATAAAAAAAATAATGCAGTCTCCAATATTGTAATTAAAAAATAATCAGTCTGATTTCTCTTTCTACAAAAACTTTCAATGTAAACAAATTTGATAAAACCAAAACAATTTCATAAGTAGTGTAAATCGACTTGGCAATAGAAACCGTTATACCTTTAAACTTTTTTTCACCATGCATCGACGAAAAGTTATTTATCACTAATTTGCTTGAGCGTAAAAAAGGAACAATAAAATATATATTCTCGAACAATAACATAACAAAAAGCATACAAATAAAAACCATTGCAATTTGCAATTTGAAAGTAAAGAACTAAAAATTAAAAATAATGATGAGAATCGGCGGTGTCGAAGATGACATAGAAAGGCAAAGGCTCCACAAAATTGATAATAATGGAAATAATTTATAAAGGTGGGTCGACGTAAACAACATGCACGTGTTTTCCCCATGGACCTGTTTCGTCTTTCGTGCATGGTATTGTCCTTACTATGGCCGTCATAAATTTCAATCTATACTCTCATTATCACCCACCATATTATATTCTTTTTTTTTTTTTTTTTTTTTTTTTTTTTTACAAACCCCATACACTAGTTTATCGGAAATGATTCTCTTCGTGAGAGAGCCAAACACCATATTATATTCTTTTAACACCCACATATTACATATATATCTCTTCGTCGGTCGAAGTATACAGCAGTTTCGAAATCACCACATTATCGATCGAGACTACAACTCGATTTTTTTTTGTGGATTTATTTGAATAACCCACTCTATATTCTAGATACATATAGGTTCGATCTGTCTTAAGATTTACAGAGCATAAAACAAAATATAGATAGAGACGACACGTAGGTATTATATTAACATGTACACATCTATCAATATCATCCATATATATTTGGAATCATATCTCAACTTGCGTTTGGTACGATAAATAAAAGAGAAAGGGACAACCTAACCAACGCTTATAATTTTGACATGACTAGCAAAAATACAATTAGAATCTCTCATCTCTGAGCCATCACTAGCTGTACGTATGGCTCTTTCTATCTATCTTACCCACCAGTCTTGTTTGCTTCTCTTTGCTGCTATATTTTAATAAGATAAATATATGTCTAGTACCTCTCTGCTTCCTTTTGCACAAACAGTTTTGTTCTTTTGAGGGGTATGTTAATGATTTTCAACTGAGATCGGAGTGGCTCCATCAACCATAGCCACTCGGATGGGGAGCCTCCGCTTCATCTTCACCGTCGGAAATGACACGATCTCGTCTTCCTCAGCCGTCCAACTACATGTACATAACTTATATTAGTACCATATAATCACAAAATGTGACAAATGCAGTTGACATTGGTAACATACATACATAGAGATGTTTAGATTAAAATTTGGTAGTACGTGACTCTGTGTCATGGACTCATGTGTGACTTGTGGACGAAATAAAAACACCTTCAAAAAAAATCTAGACCATTGTTTTTTTTTCATAGTAAAAAAAACTAAACGCTTAATTGGACCAATCTATTTAAGACCAGCCTGTTAAGATCAGACCGGACTGAATTATCAAGTCCATTACAATATCCCTAGATATACGTTACTGGCCAACTAAGGATATCAATGCCGAGTAAGACAAGTAATACTTCGTTGAAGAATAAAATATATATTCATTTTCAAGTCATGATCGGTTTACCTGTACCGGGTCACGAGGTGGTGAAGAAAGATGGAAATTTCGAGCTTCGATAGTTCTAAACCAGGACATAGCCTCTGTCCACCGCCAAAGGGTGTGAAGCAATTACTGCTGTTTGCTGATCCATTAATCCTCTGTTACACAATCAATTGATAAATTAAGCTTAAGTAAAAGTAGTTGTTGCGTCATGACTGTATACTATAAGAAGAAGAATACTGACAATAAGGAGTATGAAAGATAATAAGAAATGGTAACGTACGTCCCATCTCCACGGATCGAATTGATAGGGGTTCTCATAAATGTCTTCATCCATGTGAACCGCTATGAATGATGCCAATACACACCATCCTTTTGGTATTAAGTAACCTGCCCATTCACCCACCATTATTTATTTTTCATTTTGCATGAAAACTAATTCAATTATTCTCTAAAACACCCTTTCATCACAATTCACCCAAAAAAAAAAAAAGTATACGAGTGACTAATGATATCTAACAATTTAGATAAACTTAGTTATAGATTAAAAAAAAAAGGATTACTATACCTTTAATTTCTACATCTTTAAGAGCCTTCCTCCACACTCCGTTAATGATGTTAGCCATTCTAAGCGTTTCGTTTATCACCTATTTGTATTTCGAAAAACGCCATTAATTTTACTTTTGTTCATCAAGAAACAAGAAAACTAAACCATATTTTGATAGCTTAATTATTTTCCAGGATTAGTAAATTCTTGTAAAAAAAAATAAAGTTTAACAAATAGAGACTTACATTTTGAGTAAAAGAGAGAGACATGTAATCGGTCCAATTATATAATTCGCCTGACTCCAATTTCTGCCTCTTCATCTCCATATTCTCCTCCTACAATTCAAAAAATATATTATATCCAAAGTCATTTAAAAGGATGGGGACAAAGCTGTATAGTGCGTTTGGAACGCATTATTTTAAATGCGTTTTGATTGAAAGAAAACACATAAAGGCGTTGAAAACAAAGCGTTTCTGTGACGGGAAACGCTGTTTTGACAGGCGGTGTGGTCGCTCGTACAGACAGACAAAGGGCGTTAATTATTAATTATACAAAATCGTCCTCTACTGACAGCCGTCCACTCCGCTTTTCTTTAATCCTACGGCTGCTATACTCTCACGTGTCTCTTCCCTTCCCACACGTGTGCGTCTGTGTACTCGTGTGTCCCGTCTCTAAAGACTTTCGACAGCGACCTTGACTCGACCACGGTTACAAAAGTCAAACTGATCCCACTCTATATATAAATCTCACCCGTTCAAAATCTCCTCAAAAAAGACAAACATCTAATCTTACGGTCCACAGACGTCGGCAGATTTGCGTTTAAGACACACACGTGTGCTGTTGTGTAAAGGTTGTTTATTTGTACACCAGAAAAAGGAAACGTACCACGAGTTTGGCTAGCGCGACGGGATTGTCACTTAGGAATTTGACAGCCAAGGTCATCGCCATTGGCATTGTTTCCTCTCCGGGTATCATCATCTCTATGATCTTTCCGCTTACGAAATCCGACGGCTGAGATTGCTTCTCTGAATCACCACCGTCACTAACGTCTCTGAGAAGCACATCCACCACGTCGTTCGCCGGAGACGCTGTCGTCGCAGCCACTTGTCTCTCCTCCACAACCTTTTTAACCATCTTTATTAACCTCTCTTTCGCCTGCATGATTAACACATTAAACCCTAGCTAGAAATTTACACACTAACATTGATATATATGCTCATGTAATATAAGAAAACTGTTACCTTTAAGGACTTAAAGAGTCTAGTGCCAGGGAATTTGATGGGGATACATATCAAACCCTTGATGAATTCTTCGAACTCAACTTTGAGAATGTCCAAATCTCCACCAGGAGATATGCTCATCAGCACTTTAACCAATATCTCGAACGTCATCTACAAAAACAACAAAACAAAAAACGTTATACGAATCAAAATGTGTTATACACGTATACATTCTTAATTCAACTACTACATAACGTGTGGCCAAGTTGTTTGTACGTATGTACAACATGTGTGAGTTTGCTACTAATATATTTTCAGAGACAATACCTTTTTGGTTTCATCTTGAACATGAACCAGAGGAAGTTGAGCCCAAGAAGCCAAAGTGAGACCAACTGAGGCCTCGATGTCTCGAGTGATCCGGTCTTTAAGGTGAGGAGATCTGAGGAAGGCGCCAATGATCGTGTGAAGTCTTTTTTGGTGAGGTCCATTGATGCTGAGAATAGAGTTTTCTCCAAGTAGTTCGGTGATTGATTTAGGGTACGCAGGGACAAATATGTTCCCGTGGTTTTGGAGCACCACTTTGTTGACCTCTGTATCGGTTGATACTATGATTGGTGTCCCTATTATGTTCGTCTTGAACACCTTCCCGTATCTGAAACAGTAAACAAGAAAACAGATCCCGGTCAGAAAGATATAGCTAACTCTACCTCATCCAAATTCAAATGCGGTATCACATAACTTTGCGCCAATTAGAGTGATAGCTACATAAATTATTCATTCTAGTTAATGGTCTTGAAAATAGTGTATTAATAAACTAAATTTCGATCGTGTATAATTAACGTTTTTTGTGGTGAGGTTTTTTTTTTGGAGTGATGGGTTCGGTATACGAACAACTTGTTTTAGATACATATCTCTATGGCCTAAATGAGATGGTGAATTAAATGGAAAGGTGAAGTCTATGGAGAAGTAGGCTAATGGTGTATGGCACAAAAAGAATCATTTCGTCCATATCTATTTGATGCCTTTTTATATCTTCCTCACGAATATCCCGAGGATATATAACCAATAAAAAAATGAAAAATCCAGAGGTTATGATATTTTACTCTCTTTCTTTCTCAGTTTACATTAATATGCTAGTATTTTTGTATATCTAGGACTAGAGCCATACAGAAGATAAGAATCAATTGATTATTCACAATTAATAGAAAATTATATATGTTGAAAGGAAATAAAACCTGAAGGTGTTGTATATAGGATAAAGTATATACAATAACTCAATAAGGTAAATAGATAAATCAGTGGGTATTTAAGAGGACCCATTTTGAAAAAAAATGAGTATACAAGAAATAATATTGAATAGATAGCAGAGGAACATATGAAAAGATGTTTTAGTGTATACTAAAATAATAAATAAACACAGGAAAATAATATAGTAAACAGAAGAGATAAAGATGACACATGAACTGTAGTGAACTCAATCATCCCACACAGAAGAAAAACAAAACACACGCTTAAACTATATTGCTGTTGTATACGGCCAAGAACATGAAGACAGCTTGGTTTTTGCCAGTCTTTTTTTTTTTTTTTTTTTTAAGAAACTTGAAGTTATGCTATGTCCAAGAGTTTTAGTTTTTAACTATTCGCATCCCCAGTAGAGTTATTTGTATCTTTCTTTAAATCATCATCATTACTAGCTAATGTAACCACTGTATTTTCTTCTTTACATATAAATAGATCAGTTGGTTACAATTTTTACAGATGTAGTTTATTATTTGTTTTTATTCAGCTGTGTTAGGTATTTTACTATTTTGTTAGTGAACTATGTTTAGATAAAGAAAACAATAAGTTAGTTGCTCCTAGGGTTACTAAGAAAGATGGAGAACCGAATAAAATTGGTGGAAATAGGACAACTGAATTATAAGGAACAAACAAAAAGACGAACCTAACTAAAATTAAGGAGATGTAATTAATGGATAAATTGTTAGAATTGGTCATTAAATTAGATATAAGAAAAAAGCTTATCTCTACCAATTAAAGGATTTGATGAAAAACGATTTTTCTGATTTTGTGGTTAAAATAATAATTTCATATTGAAAAAAAAAACTTACAAAGATTTTCGTTTGTCCATGAAAGTAACCGGCCGAGAAGAATAACCACAGGCGATGAAGTTTAGGGTTTCTCCGATCACCGGCCAGCCTAAGCTTCCCTTTGGAATCTTTCCCTTTTTCTTCTCTTCTTCTTCATCTTTCTTTTTCGAGTTTCTAAGACGAAACCAGAGCCATGGACGGAGAAGTATTCCGGCCGTCAAAACCAAGAAACCAGCAACCCAATAATCCATTAAATCAGAAGGCCAAGAAAGATATTCCGGCGACCGGAAAAGTCCTGTTCTTAGCGGAGGATACATATACACCTTAAACTCGAAACCAGTTTCTTGATATATCAAAATTTGGAAAAAAAAAAAAAAAAAAGGAGAGTATTTGAGAAGGTTTCCAACAGAAGAAAGGTTTCTCAATTCTTAAAAACCATGCAGGAAGAGAAAAGTGAGAGAATAAATATATTTGAAGAGCTAAAGGCTATTGGTGATGTCATTTTCAATGGATGGGGGCAAAACAGAGGAATTAATGATATACATATATATGTATATATATTACTATAGATATATTCAAGTTTAAAACATCTTAAATATATGTCCAAAAAAAAAACATCTTAAATAAAATAGTGATTTTCTATTAATCTTGAAGTTACAATCAATATTACATGTCAACACCAGATATATTGACATATCTATTTTTATTCGTCAAAGTTCGATCTTAGTTCACATATTTAAAGAATTTGCATGAAATAGTAATAACGAACTGAATTTAGCTATACATATATTTGTTATAATACGAAATTTCATATAGGCATATAGCAATACCAATAGTCCAATATTCATTTTATGTGGAAGCAAAAATATATAATACGGTAATTTAACTGTTAAATGGAGATTAAGCTAATTAGAAGGTGAAGTGGGCATGTATCAGGTTAAGCTAAATTTTCACTTCCTCTCTGTAATATCTCTTTAAGTAAAGACATATAATCAACTTAATTAATTTTGTTTCTTACGGTTAGTATTCATTGACTGTATCATTGTAATTAATTTGTACTTCATTACTCAAGATTCTTATAGATTGTATTATTAGTTATTGCTATTAAAATTAATTCACATTATCAATATTTATGATTCCATGATTTTTATTTCTATATATAATTATAAATCATGAATACTTAATATGAAATTTTATATATTTAAAATTTATGAATGAAAATCTAAAATAATTTATAGAAATAAAATTATTATATTATTTGGTAACAAGGTTTTTTAGTTTAAGTATATTAATGTTTATATTGGTGAGGTGAGGGATATCTCACGAATAGGAAATAATCCTAATAATAAACCAAGTTAGATGTTGCTTTCATTCACTCCTCTCATTTATCTGTAAAACTTGCATTCTGAGATCGGTATTGTACTGTTACAACACACTTATAATTCGAACAGGATGATACATACAGTGTGTGAACATTTTCCTACAAGGCTCCTCAAAACTAATATCGAATGTATTATTTAAGTATTGCTCTTATACACTAGTACTAATCATTATTAGTTTTTGATCCGTGAGTAAATAGACTAGACTACTATCTAATAGTGTATTTACTAATAATGTCTTAAAAACTATAGCTCCATTAATCCAAGTCGACGTTAATAAATTTGGAAGAGAGCAACCAGAAAAAATAGACTCCATTGGGTAAACAAATGGGAGAAATAAATGAGGGGACAGAAAATAGGGAACGGCTATTGCGCCACGCTTTGGCCGTTTTGTCTTTTTTTTTTTTTTAATTAAATAATTTCTTATTAGTAATTAATTTAGTTTTCGATTCGTTATTTTGTTTTCCATTTATAGAAAATGATCGTTCTACACTCACTAAGTCGTTCTTCATTCTAAGTCAACATGTAAAATGTACGAAACACCAGAGTCATATATGGGATCAATGTTTTGTATCTTGTAACTCGGTTATATATAAATTGATACATTATTATTGGCCTCTTCTTTTCGTACGGTGAATCTTCATTACAAATAACAAGCCACGTTAACGCTGTTTAACTATTATAAGCTATATCATCATGGTTGGTTATCATCATCATTCATCAATATGCATGTTTAGAATTCAATGATCAGATCCACTTACTTCCCCTGGACCATATTGTTTGTTTATTAGCAAAGTATATAATAATTTAAAACAAAAGTATACACAAACGTCATACTATATAGGTTAATATGAAGATTCATATCAAATGCTTTGACAAAACATATACTATAAAAATTCGAGATTTGCTTTTTTAGAATGCGAACAATGATGATCACAAGTTTCACTGATTAATCCATGATCTTTATTATAATTATAAAAAGCATGACAGACACACATTATGCTAATCAGTGCTATTAAACCATTTTCTTTGCCTATGCCATTGAATTATTATTATAAGTATAATCATAGATATAATATTTTTATAAAACCAACTTTATTACATGAGATATTACAAAACCAATCTTATTATTTGGGGAGCTGTGTGATTACTACGACATGTGATCGGAGAGTTTTCATCATTTAACCCTTTAGACTTAATATCCAAGAATCAAATTAATTAATCAAATCTATGACAAAGCCGAGGTACACAATGTTATTAAAAAGGTCGGTCCACAATAAACTAATTAGAAAGCTTTCTGCCTAACATCTGTGTGTAAATAAATATATTAGGCTCCAACCAAGGCTCAATAACATAGTAATAAGTCCTTGATAGCTGTGTAGCCTGGACTACACAAGTCCACAGACAATTTAAAATGTCTCGAGCTGTGAACCTATCTTTCTCGTGTTAAATAAATTGTTTATGACCATATACTTATTATTATTGCTGTTACCATCGGCATGAAGCACTGTAGACATACAAAAAGATTGACTTGTCATTGTCAAATCAACCCATTTGGTGATTTCGAAAAACAAAATCACTCCCATCTCCATTAATGACCTCTGTCTCCCCTCTGTTTTTCCTTTCGAGTCTAAAAACAGTAAATGTTCTTCTCTGTAAATAGACTTATTTGGTTAAGTATAACAAAGTATACAGAAGAAAGAAAAACATAACTATACTGTTCGAATCAAAAGAGAACGAAAGTTTTAACTTAACTTGCACAAGACGCAACAACAGCATCGACACCTACATCGTGAAACAAGGACAGTTTACTAATGGCGAGAGCTTCTCCGTATAGTGATGCCCTCGTTGACTTCTCAATCCGGACTTCCACGAAATCCCCTATTTCAGGATTTCTTTTCAGCCCATCATTGTGAAGACTTGCTTTATCAAACAGAGGCTTTGTGACAAACGAAACTCGGTGTCCTTTGTCTGTTTTTCCGATTAGTTCCGTCTCAGGCGCTCTCTTATTTGGTCCTTCGACTAGAACTAACTGAACTGATCCGACTTGAGAGTCGAAACACGGACCTGTGGTTTCGCGGAATGCTTCTATTAGTTCTGTTAGACGTCTCTGCTTGACTTCCTCTGGAACATCGTCTGTGTAATTCCGATGAGCGTGTGTCTTTTCTCTCATGCTGTATGCAAACATATACGCCATATCGTATCCAACTGCTCTCACCAGGCTCAAGGTTTCTTGATGCTCTTCTTCGGTTTCTCCACAGAAGCCTACCAACACATACAATTGGACTCTTTTGCATCAGACAAGGTGCATGACTAAGAAAAACCGATTACAAACAGAAACCAAAAACCATGTCAAACATAGATTTAAGCTAGGCTATTTTCATTCGGTTGCCTAGCTTGAATCTCTTTCTATTCATAAACTTGTACAATTCAGAGACAAATCATGAAAATACCGCAAGGGTAAGGCAATCCTAGTTTAAGGCATCTATATCAAGGAAAAATATGGAAACAGTTTAAAGAAATGTTTTTGAGTAAGCGTACCGGTGATAAAGTCGCTGGTTATAGCCACATCTGGTATAATACTCCTAATCTTTTTAACTAGTTCCAAGTAAGCTTCTCTGGTGTAACCTCTACGCATCTGTTCAAGTATTCTGCTATTACCAGATTGTGCAGGAAGATGAATGAGATTGCAGATATTATATCTGTCTCTCATCAAATATAGCAATTCGTCCGGGTAATCTTTAGGATGAGGCGAAGTAAACCTAAACCGCATCTCTGGAAACTCCACGGAGAGTCTGTCTAAGAGATCAGCAAACCGCAAACCCATGTTTTTAACTTTACACCTGCTCGAGAATCCTTCACTGTATTCCCACTTAGCCCCTGACTCAGGATCAGACGAATCATCGTTATAGCTGTTCACATTTTGCCCTAAAAGCGTAACTTCTTTCACACCAGATTCCCACAACTCCTTAACCTCGCGGACTATGGATTCCACGGGACGTGAACGCTCTCTGCCTCTTGTAAACGGAACAATGCAGAAGGCACACATGTTGTTGCAGCCTCTCATAACTGAAACAAAAGCGGTAATTGCATTTTCTGAGATTCGGACTGGGGATATGTCGGCGTAAGTCTCTTCTAAAGAAAGAAGAGTGTTGATTCCTTTCTGTCCATAGTCCACTTCTTCCAATAGCCTCGGGAGATCTCTATAAGCATCAGGACCGCAAACCACATCAACCATTTTATCAGAATCCAGAATCTTGTCCTTTAATCTTTCAGCCATACATCCCAAAACAACAACTTTAGGAGGTTTCAGAGACTGTGCTCTTCCTTTAGCGACATTGAATTTCCATTCGCGTTTTAGGAACCAGAAGTAGTTAAGTCTTTGCCATACTCTCTGTTCAGCATTCTCTCTGATAGCACAAGTGTTGATGAAAATGACTTCCGCGCTCTCGGGTTCAGTCACCACTTCTTTATAACCAGACTTTTTCATGATCGCAAGGACTATCTCCATGTCGTTTATGTTCATCTGACATCCATATGTTTCATGATAAATCCGACCTTTTGATGCAACATCAGAATCGAATGTGCTTCCAAGAGCAAGAAAGAATTCAAAAAGAATAGTATTAGCATAACTTGTAAATTGCACAACTTGAAAGATATAAAGTCAAAATCTCTGATTAGCCACGAAAATTAGAACATTGACGAAGACAAACTTCCACAACCTACGGATTGATGAGTAAGCAGATTGACTTAAATGGTTGCTGCTTCTTAAATTGGCACTTTCATTCCTTAAATTTCGAAATTTTGGGTCTCAAACCAATGGCCAACACCAATTAGGTCGCAAAACAAAGAGTAGTTATGCAAAATTGAGCTAAAAATCAAAACTTTAAGATCATTGAAACTCCTGAAATCACTAATAGAAGACTTACTCAGATTCGGCTTCGGGAGTGGTAAGAGAAGCATGTGCTTGAGCGTTGGAGACGAACTGTTGGAGGCTCGGACCATCAAACTTGCCAGAACCAGCAATTTGAGAAACAGAAAAGCTTCTAGAAAGGTTTAAGGCAAACCCATTCTTGCTCTTGATCGGCTTTTGTGCGAAACGATGCGTGCTGTGGCAACGAGGGAGAAGAGCAGCAGAGGAAGAACAAGTATGGATTAGTTTCGAGGAGAGGAATGTAAGAGCGAAGCAGCGTCGTGTAGAGGCTTTGAAACAGAGAGAGCACCCGTGAGGGTTGCTTAGAATGGAGGAGAGAGACGAGAGAGAAGAAGACGCCATTGGAGATGAGGAGCTCCAAAGTCTCCACCAGAAGTACAACGGGAGGCTCTCACTCAGTCAGGCTTAGGGATTTTACTTACAATCTACTCACGTTGAAACGCAGCGTTTCGTTATCCAGACGCAAGGTCAGGGGTATGATTGATATTCTCTTAGCCTTATTTTATTTTATAACTGTAACGAACATATTGGTAAGAACGACGAAGAAGAGAAGAAAGAGCCGTGGAGGAGTAGAACTGTAGAAGAATGATGATGCAGAAATTGAGAAGATCGGGAGAGTTGATAAGATATGGCTCTAAATCCCTAATTAATCTCCGACCAAACAAGGACTCACTGTCCCGTTCTGTGTCAGGTTTGATTTCATTTCCACTTTGACTTTTCTATTTAGATTGAGAGATGGAAAAATAATTGACTTTGCTTTAGAAACTAAAATTTTTTGATTTATTGTTTGATTTATGGGATTAGGCTTTGTAAATCACTACGAGACAAAAGGCAAGCATTTTGAGTCCAACGTTGGGAACTATAACACTGAGCTTCATCATGGATGTCTTGGTAGAAATTTGGGGATGCTGCAGCAGTATAAGTGTTTTGGATCATCATCAGCTTCAAAAATTCAGAGAAACCCTCTGTTTTCGTCCTTGGATTCGAAGGATGTTAGCTATTTCAAGGAGATACTAGGTGACAGAAACGTGGTTGAAGATGAAGAGAGGCTTGAGACTGCAAATACAGATTGGATGCAAAAGTACAAAGGATCTAGTAAGCTGATGCTCTTGCCTAAGAATACGGAAGAGGTGTCTCAGATACTTCAGTATTGTGATTCGAGACGTTTAGCTGTTGTTCCTCAAGGGGGTAATACTGGTCTTGTTGGTGGAAGTGTGCCTGTCTTTGACGAGGTTCAGTACTTTTTTATCGACTGATGTTGGTTGGTTATGATTTAACTGTTGGCTTGGTTAGTTTAAAGCTAGCAAAAGAACTTTTCAGGAATGTGAGAGGTATGAACAGAAGAAAAATATATTATTTTCGATCATAAATGTGACAAATTTTGTGGTATCTTTGCAGGTGATCATCAACGTTGGTTTGATGAATAAAGTCTTAGCTTTTGATGAGGTAACTGGCAATATTATATTCAGAACAACTAATGCTCCTGTATTTTTCCTCTTATTTATGGGAAGTAACTATATAAAAATTAAATTGAAACTGTGTGTGAGCTGTTCAGTTCAATGGAGATTACAATCTTCTGTTCTAGTGTCACTTGCTTCTTAGCTAGCTGTTCCAATAGTCTCATTCATGCAGAAAAAATCAAGGATTAGGCTGTTCTGACACAACTTTTCTTACTAGTTAAAGTAATGTAATTACATACTTGATGATGATGATACAATGCTCTCTGTTCAGGTCAGTGGTGTCTTGGTATGTGAAGCAGGATGTATTTTGGAAAATCTGGCAACTTTTCTTGACACGAAAGGGTAATTTTACCATGTCTTCTTACCCTATTTTACTAACAATGAACTTAAATTTAAAAGAAGGAATGTCCAATTATTACTCAACTAGCTCGTTTTTTTTGTCAGATATAGCAACATAAGCTTTTTGTTTTCTCAGTTTTATTATGCCTCTGGACTTAGGTGCAAAAGGAAGCTGTCATATTGGTGGAAACGTTTCAACTAATGCTGGTGGTTTGCGCCTTATTCGCTATGGCTCACTTCATGGAACCGTTCTGGGTAAATGATCATAGGCCTAGACGTCTAGGCATTTTCAGTCCATCTAAAATACATTTTGAGTTTCATCTTCATCATCTTTGTTTGCTAACCATCTCAGGTCTAGAAGCTGTCACCGCAAATGGCAATGTACTTGACATGCTTGGAACTTTACGCAAAGATAATACTGGGTATGACTTAAAACATTTGTTTATCGGTAGGTATTATCATTATGTTGTGCTTGTACTATTATTTCAATGTCACTTGATTACCAAAAGAGACTAAAACATCTTGAATTTTCTCTTTACTGGTTTCCACAGGAAGTGAAGGGTCACTAGGTATTGTAACTAAAGTTTCTATTTTAACACAACCAAAATTGTCTTCTGTAAATTTAGCCTTCATTGCGTGCAAAGATTATCTCAGCTGCCAGGTTTAAGACAATAGCCTCTGTAATTCCATTCTCTCTACAGAGGAGATAGCGTGTGAAGTGTGAACTATTTTTTCTCATTATGTTGTCTTTTTTTCTTCCAGAAACTTCTTGTTGAAGCAAAGAGAAATCTTGGAGAAATACTATCCGCTTACGAGTTTCTTGATAACAATTCCATGGATTTGGTAAGCTTTTAGGAACTGTTTGCATTCCAGATACTTTATCTTGTGTACAAGTCTTTGATTTTTGCTAAATTCTTTCGTTTCATTCGACAGGTACTGAACCACCTAGACGGTGTGCGTAATCCAGTTTCCTCTACAGAGAACTTTTATATTCTGATAGAGACAACAGGGAGTGATGAAACTAATGATAGGTAGAAATAATTTTCTGGTCTGTCTTGGGACTTTCACAAATTTCCGGTAACATTGAAATGAGGCTCTCTTCCAAGTATTCAGATCCCTTGAGAGAGTTTTTTCCTGGTTGAAATACTAATGCAGGGAGAAGCTTGAAGCTTTCCTGTTAAAGTCACTGGAAAAAGGTTTAGTTTCTGATGGTGTAATCGCTCAAGATATTAACCAAGCTTCCTCATTTTGGCGCATACGAGAGGTAAAACATTTATGAGTTATTTCCCCTGAGAAATCTTGATGCTACACGGCGAATCATTTAACAATTATTACCCTGCAGGGTATAACAGAGGCGTTACAGAAAGCAGGAGCTGTTTACAAGTATGACTTATCCTTACCAGTTGAAGAAATTTACAATATTGTCAACGATCTTCGAGGGAGATTAGGTGAGACATATGTCATTGCACTGTTTCCTAGTTACTTGAAACCAAAAGATTCAATGAATTCATGCCTATGCTTCAGGTGACTTAGCAAATGTTATGGGATATGGTCACCTTGGAGACGGAAATCTACATTTAAACATCTCAGCCGCAGAATATAACGATAAGGTAAAATACAAATATGGATATTAGACATTCCATGAGTTCAAATAATCAAGTCATTCACTCTTTCCTTGCAGCTTTTAGGTTTGATAGAACCTTATGTCTATGAGTGGACATCAAAGCACCGAGGAAGCATCAGTGCAGAGCATGGATTAGGTGTAATGAAAGCTAATGAAATCTTCTACAGCAAAACACCCGAAACTGTGAGTTAACAAAGGAACAAATGGAACTATGTATACAACTTTCGTGTCATTCTATTCTTACCGGAATATAAAATATGCAGGTTGCAATAATGGCTTCGATAAAAAAGTTGCTGGACCCTAAGGGAATTCTCAACCCATACAAAGTTCTTCCTCACTCTCTCTTCTCTCACTAAGGTAAAAAAGATTATTATGCTTTATGATTACGCACCGAAATTATTGAAAGCATCTATCTTTTTGATCATCTATCAATGCTCTTCCAACGTCAAAAGTGAAGAATCATCATCTTTTACTTTGGAATCATTGACATTCTTTTCCGGCGAATTGCAAGGTGGAGGTGGTGATGAGATGATTCTTCAAACAGGAATTTGGAACATAAGCAGCCAAGTTTGAGCAATATGATTGATGCAAAGGAACAAGAAAAACAAGTGCTGATTTAAAAGTCTTTTAAACTCCAAAGTGTATATGCTTCTCCTTTCTTCTTCTTGTTGTTGTTGTTGTTGTCCCCTTGTTTTAATATCTTATTCTCGAAGGATAAGAAAGAATCAAAACCTATGGATATTACGTGTATTTAAAGTCAAAATTTGCAGTGTATTTGGACCAAAACTCGAAAAGATAAGTATCTATCATAATAGCATTTTCAAGAACGTTTCACATAATATCTTTCTATTCTTGGCAATTTCGTTTATAATGGATTTTTTCTTGATTTGTTCACAAACGACTGAATTTTTATAATCCTACCATAACTTTGGGTTTTCTTCATGTGTTAACCTTTCTTTAACAGGTCTTATACTCTAAGAGAACCCTAATTCGTAAGATAAACCGGAATATTATCCAGTCAGATTGACATGTCTCCAATTTAAGAGAGAAGCTATGTATTTCATTTATAATTAGTGTACGTTCTGCCAAGTATATTACTCTGAGGTCTAAGTTGGACTATTAGATACATACGAATATAAGATCCACCATCGGCTAAAGGTAGCCCATAGTTTCCATGGAAAAAGATGTGCACAAGTTTTGATTTAAGATGATTAAGCCATTGCACACATGATACAACAACAACATCATGATTGTAATTATGACTTGTCAAAATTGATTATTGAACCAAGTTTACACTTTTGTAACTATGTATACTCACAAAGGCCAAAAGACAATGAAAGCAAATATATTCTCAATAAAAAAATCCAAGGCGTCGTCGATGAATGATGTATCCATTAACGGGAAATATATTAGGACAATGTTACGGGTCAATTTTTACCTGATTCATGCATCAATATTTTGTTTTAATTTGTTGATACATATATACATGCATCAGGTTAGTTATGAAAAAGTTGAAGCGTTAAGTTTAAATACATGCATCAATTTCATAACGCAGGGAATAATAATAGTATGATAATTTAATTTAGGGAATATAGTTTTTCTGAAAATAGATTTATGATAATATTCCTAACTGGTTTGATTATGATCGTGAGGGCGAGGGAGGAAGATTCGGTTGTCTCCAACACAAGTGGAAAGTCCCGAATTAAAGAAAGCCGACACGATAAAACGACGCCGGGTTGATGACTGGACATAGATCCAAACGCTTTAGACACTCTCCGAAGATGATAAGACACTATAAAAAGCTCATGGATATGGTGGCTAAGGAGACAAAACTCACACAATCTCTCTCCCTCTCTCTCTCTCACTCACTGTAAGAACTTCAAACACAGATGACGAGTTCTTCTGAATCAACTCGCAAGGTTGGTTACTTCCTTCTCTAAGTAATATCACATACCTCAGACTTTTGATTGTTTCCTTTGGTTTGATCATCTTTCTTTTGTTCTTATTATGTTAGGGTCTGACCAAAATCGCCACGAACCGGTTGCAGAAAGAGTTTATGGAGTGGCAAACCAATCCTCCTTCTGGTTTCAAGCACAGAGTCTCTGATAATCTCCAACGGTATAATCCCGCTTTCCTGCTGTTTTTGCTTTGAATATCGATTGTCAGTGATGTAATGTTGAATGAATTGTTGGTGTGAACAGATGGATCATCGAAGTGCATGGAGTTCCAGGAACACTTTATGCCAATGAAACTTACCAACTTCAGGTTGAGTTCCCTGAGCATTATCCTATGGAAGCTCCACAGGTTCGTCCTCAAACTCCTTTTGTTGTTACTACTTGATGATTCCTAATCATCGCACCAATCTCATAACCCGATGGTTTCACCTATAAACAGGTCATCTTTCAGCATCCAGCTCCACTTCATCCTCATATCTATAGCAATGGACACATTTGTTTGGGTAAGAACATACTAAAACCCATAAACACAATGACTCACTTGCGTTTTGCTCCTTCGTTCCCAGTCCAATGACAAGAATATGTACGTTTCATGATGCAGATGTTCTGTATGATTCTTGGTCACCAGCGATGAGGCTAAGTTCCATCTGTCTCAGCATTCTGTCAATGCTCTCCAGTTCATCCGTGAAGGTTTGTGTGTGATTACGTATTCTCATCATTCGAAGGCTTCCAGAGTATAATCTTTTTTCTTATGACGTTTCTTGTTTTCTCCTTGCAGCAAAAGCCGAAAGACAATGACCATTACTTGAAAAACTGCAAACATGGAAGATCTCCCAAAGAAACTAGGTGGCGTTTCCATGACGATAAAGTATAACAACTCCTATGTGTCCTATAATACTGTGATTAGAAACAAATTGTATGATCCTCAGGTCGATTTCTTGATCTGTTGCTATCTTTAAAACAAGAGCAGCTTCTACTTTCTACAATTTAACCATACAAAAAGCTTGAGCTGTTGAGCATAAACTTGATAGTTTGGAAATAACATAATTCATTATTAAATGAAAGAAATGGCCTGATCTTCTGTCGAGAAGAGATCATCAACAACTGTTAGTACAAACAATGAATTGAGAGAATGATTGATCCAAAGAAGAGAACTGTGCTTGCTTCTAACAAGCCTTCGTGTATATTTGATTGAAGACAATAATCTGTTTCTACCTCTAAAGAAAAGAGCTGGTGATGACTTTCCATGACATGTTACTTTTGTAATAATAAACACTTGGAAGGACTACTCATCAGAAGCTTCAGTTGTTCCTTGTCATGTTCCATTTTAATAACACCTGCATCCCAAGACTAAAGCTTCAGCATGTGAATCAAGGTGAAAAGAAATCATACAGATGCTACAATTGCGTAATAACAGTTGTTGTTTCTCGAAAAATCTGTTGATGCAATAGACTATTAAAGCTATTCTAATTGCTCTTCCTCAAGATTTCTTCAACTGAACATCATTTTTGCTATGTACATTTTTACAAAGAAACTTCAAAGGCCCTTAATGAAACTCAACATCAAGCTCTGAGCTTTTACTTCCCATAGAAAAAAGCAAGCAACTTTATGCAATTCCAGAATCAAACTAATGTTCCTTTCCAAATTCTCATACCTAATAAGGCACTACAAATTCAACACCATACTTCTTAGCACACAATCTCAAAGGAGGGTTTATTCCCACAATCCAACAAAGCAAAGCTAGATTAGATAATCCATCTGCTTCGGAGCAATCGAAAAAGTTGAAGAATTTACAATAGAGGTACCTAAGAATGGTCACTCCATAGCAACTTTAGCTCCAACAGCCTTCAACTTCTCAATGATCTTCTCTGCTTCTTCCTTACTAACTCCTTTCTTCAACAATGTTGGCGCTTTCTCGACCAAATCCTTCGCTTCCTTCAACCCCAAATCCGTAATCGTTCTCACTTCTTTAATCACCTTAATCTTCGACGCTGTTTCGTACGCTTGAAGCATCACATCGAACGCAGTCTTTGCTTCCTTCTTCTTCTCTGTCCCTGCTCCGGCGGCGGAGGATTTACCGGCTCCAGATCCCGGCAATGACATCCCTGGCATCATCGCAGCCATCACAGGCATCTCACTGACGCCTAGCTTCTGCCTAAGGACCTCATTTAGGTCCATTGTTTCCAAAAGAGTGAGATTCGACAGCTCATTCACGATTTTGGAGACGTTCTCCGACTGCGTCGCCGGAGACGAATAGCTCCGAGATTGGATCGAAATCAATTGAAAGGAGCTTGGATGTGTATTGATGGATTTCAAACCTCGTGAGAAGTGAGAGGAGATGATTCGCAGATTCTGCATCGTTTCACTCTCTCTCTCTCTCTGAATTCAGTTTGGTGTTAGCTTAGCTTCGTTGAGAATTCATGTCAGAGCATCTGAAGCTCAAATTAGAGAAGAAGCATAAACCCTAACTCGCCTGAGGTGATTTTAATGGGCCTTTATGGGTCGAAAAATTACTATTATTTTTCTAAATTCATAGATTATTAGGTTGGGTTAGGCCCAATAACTACTTCAGAAACGAATGCAAAAAAAACGACACTTTTAATTGTGACAGTTTGACCCCAAAAAGGAAAAAGAAAAAATTTGTGACTAATTGAAACTTGTGTTTAATATTTTTGATTGGTTGTTTTTGTTTAAACTTGTTCGTTTTCAAAAAGTTTGGAATATGACGATTGATATCTTTCTTAAAATATATTGCGAATGAAAAGTTTAATTGGTTTGATAAATTCAAATCTCAAACTTATCTCTTAATACAAAGCAAAACAACACAACAACATAAAAACTTGAAATGACAGAACCCAAAAAAAAAAAGACAACCCAAAAGTAAAAAAGCAAGTGTCACACAGTTCTTCCGAATATATTTTTGTATCTATTTGTTTCCTCTTATAACAGGAGCTCAAGAGTTAATCTTCCTGCAATTTTTCCTGATTTCACCACTGGAACCCGTTAGAGGAGAGATATTTCCCATCTTGATCATCGATTCTGCAAATTGCTCAAAAAACTCTCCTTGATCCTCTGCATACTTCTTTACAAGCTCTCTTGATTTCTCGTTACTGCTGAACAAAACCTGGTCTGAATTCAACAAACCCTTGTTCTCTATCAAGTTCTTGAAATAGCTGTTGTCAAATCTCGCTGCGCTGACAATGTCCAACACCGAAAGAATTTGGTCCCCGCCGGATCTTGGACACCTTTGGCGTAAGTTAGCAGCGAAAGATTGTTCCAATGTCATGTCTGGACGACCGTTTCCGGACTGGTTGTACAACCTCTGTCTGAAGCTCGTGCATCTCGAGAATCCGATGGTGTGACTACCTGTGATAACATTTAAGAAGTATGGTGGCTTGAGAAGCAAGTAAGGGATAATACGGTTACTTTTAGTTCTGTTCTATGTGTGTATAATGGCGAAAGCTTACCGGAGAGAGCAACAAGGTCAGTAACGTCGAGTCCTTGACGGTTAAACTTCGATAGAATGGTACTGAAAGTGTTGTTTGGTGCAGGGATGTTGTTGTTAGAACCACTCAAGCTTGCACTTCGCGAATCTCTTCTTCCCAATGGAACCACCCAGCTTGGTCCACCAGTCTACACCAAAAAACCAAACCGAGTTAGCTGATGTTTCATATTTAGTTCGAGACCATAGAGACTATATTGGAAGAGGCTTACAAGAACAGAGGAGTCTCTAGCGGCTAAGGTAAGAACATCAGCGCAAGAAACAATTCCAGGGCATTGTCTCTCCAGTTCAGCTTTGATTTGGTCAACTACGTCGAAACCACGAGCTGATTTGCTGTTAGGGTTTGAGTTTTTCTCACTCACTATCCTCCCACCGCTGTCTAAAAGCAAAGAGCCATCACAACCCTGGATTTCAAAGATACCTTGTTCAAAAAGTTAAACAAACAAAAACGGTGAAACGTAGAAGAAGTTAACCAAACCTGAACGAAACAGTCGTGGAAATGAAGTCTCAGCAAGGAAGCAGCCATACGGGTCTCTCTAGCAACAGCTTTAGCCACAACTGATCTCACGATCTCACTGGCTTGTGGACATGAATGGGAGTAATAACCCGGGAAGAGTTTTCCTCCATAGCTCTTGTCGCAGAGGCAGAGAGGGAAAAAGCAAAGGAGAGAAAGAAGGAGAAAACTTGCGAGTCTTGCCATTACTTTCCAAGTTTCAGTAAGAAGATGAGTAAGTTAGAAGACTTTGTGGTGATGAGTGATATGAAGTAAGATGAGAAGAAGAAGGTATTTATAGGAAAGCGGCTCTGAAGATGAAGGAGCAAGAGGAAATGGATGGAGTTGGTATTAGACTATTAGCTGAAGATTGTAAACAATGTAAAAGATTAATTTGAGAAAAGAAGATTAAAAGTGACTAAAGCTTGTGTTTGGTACCAAACATTGCATGCTAAGTTTGACGAATTAACCTCTTTTTTTTTGTTTAGTTAATTAAAATTGATATAATTTAAATTAACTTGACTTTGGAAACTTGGAGTTGGAGGGGCAAAAGCAAAGCAAGCTTTTAAGATTTTAATATATAGCGACTTTTTATCTTCATCCATATTTTAACGACTCGTATAACAATAATTTGAACTTTGAATAAAATATTGGAATTTTCTTGCTTCACCATATCTTTTGTTTGTTTATTGAGACCTTTTCATTAAACGCACATTTAAGAAAGTACAAAATAAACAGATTTGTAATAATTAAGAAGGCTAATTACAAAGATAATTTAAGCTTGTCATTGTGTCGATTTAGTAGACAATTTAAAGTACTAATCACTAACTTAAAAGCCGTAAAAATATGCCTTAAACATTTGATGTAATAATATTCTGATTTCTGTAAAGTAAGATGGAGAAAAGTTACTGTTACATGATAATAACTCAAGATCAGAATCGTAAACCCACTTGGTTTAATCAAGAAATATCGAGATTTTATTTCTCGAAGGTAGAATTAAGAGACTAATCTTTACTGATAATGTATATATCTTTTTGTAGAAGTAAGATAAAAAAGCGAGATAACCAAGTATGAACAGAATAATCCGAGTATATTTTTAAGAAAGTAAATAATATAAAGCCTAGACCTAACTAAATCTTAAAGAGGAATGCAAAACAAAAGAAAGAAATATTTACTTTTTGCAAGGGACTTGGTTAATAGAACATGTTTGCGTAGACAAAGTCTTTGTGTAGTGAGAAAGATAAGAGAGTAGGAAGAGATTCTAACTACTCCTTTGACAAAAAAAAATTATCTTATAAAGTTTCAATCTTTGTTGACTTTACAAACACACTCTTGTTCTTGTAACCAAAGCAAAGAAAGAACACCTTTTCTTTTGTTTGTCTTTTTCGATTGTAACACATGAATCTACACTTAAAAACAACCTCAAGGTTAAAGCCTTTAACTTTTTTTGATTCTTGTAATTTTTTCCCCTCTTTCTAGAACCTAAACATAAATAGCAAAACCCGCAAATTTCATATCACCAGCTTGCCATACCATTGGCTTGAAAAAGTCCCCCTTGTGAGGCAATTCACAGTTTTAGATCGCACCATATGTTCTTTCACTTGGTCTCTGTGTTGTAACTTGAGTAGGGGATGCAGAAGAGCGGTCCCATGAGACTTCATTGGCAAAAGCATTGTTGATATCTTCAGTTCTTGAGTAGCTTTGTCCACTTCCACTCACCTATTTATGAAGGCCAAAATCAATTATCTTACACAGAAACTGCATCTTTAGCGAGATTCATAAATTACCAAAGACCAACAGTGATTTTCTCTTTGATTTTGCATAAATGGAATCCTTTGAGTTTTCTCGTAATACTTACAGTTTCTAGTAATCCCGATAGAAGTGACATCCCTGGCAATGCATCAATTCCACGCTGCATCCATATGAACATATCAGTGATTGTGTATATAGCGTGAGAGAAGAATTAGAGAATCAAGAATGGATTGAAGATTACCACACGTTCTACTCTTGTTTTGTAAATAAAGCCTCCACAGCAGAAAAGCATAGATGCAACTAGGAATCTGATCAGAAGAACCAGACCAGAACACAAGAATTAAGGTAATTAATTCTCCAGTTATATGACCGGCATATAAAATCACAAAACATTATGTGCAAGACAAATATGGTTATGTTGTAAAATGTTAGTAAGATTCTGAGCGTGAGGTATACTTACACGCAGGAAAAAACTCCAAATATAGCCCATCCCTTCGCTGATCCTCCTTCATTACCTTGGTTGTATTCTGAAATGATTTAGGAACAAAAATCATATGTGTCAGAGAGAGAGAGAGAGTTGGAGAGTGAGCAAACAATGGAAATATTCAGCTCAAGGGGAGTGCATAGTGGATATCAAGCCGAGTGTATAATAAGCTCACCGCAGAGTTTTGTGAGGAAAAACTGAACAGGATCATAACCATCCACCGGGATGGTGACATTGACTTCATATGGAGTTCGCCGAGATTTTTCACCTTTGAAATTTTGGGGAGAAAAAACACAAGGTTACAGAATTCGTAGCAAAGATCAATGGCACAATGCAAAAAGCAAGGTAACAAGACTCATTACAATTCCAGTCCAGTACTAAAGTTGAAGGTGATAAGGTTGTTGGATGATTCCCAGTCAAGGAAGAACCAGCTATCTTAACATCAAGACCATTTTCTGGAAAAACCTTGATGATAGGCTTCCCTACCAATGTTGAAAGAGAAGCAATTCCAGTCATATAGAGAGTAAGATGAGTCTGCTCGGTCTTGAAACTACAAATCAGAAACACTTCAGGATGTAAATACACAGCAACTAATACATGGATAAACAAAATTCTTGATTTCATACCTAAACTCACGACGGGGCTTATCAAATCCAAACTGTGTCATCCCATTATAAATCTGCAGGTCAAAGATCCAAAACCGAATCAAATTTTAAGTTTATGTTCAGTATGGTAAAAGGTGTAAGCAGAAAATTGGGGTTGCTTGTTCCTTACAACTTCCCATGAGCGAGGATGCAAACCGACTGTGAATCCTTTAAACACCCGCGGACCAGGTTTCTCACATGGAATAGCCAACTCGACAGTAACTCTGGATCAGTGGGAAAGAACAGGAATTTATTGTAAGAAAAATGGATTATACCAAGATTCGTGGATAATAAGAGAAACATAAAGTAGCAGACAGACCTGCAAGTTGAATCTTGGGTGACACTACATATGCATCCAAGTCCACCTGAAATAGAGAAAAGGAATAAATGAGAACTAGATAGTACATTAACAAATCGAGAAGCATTTCAAAGTAACATCTGTAATGGAACAAAAACAGAAGCAGACACACCTTTACAACGTTCAGCACCACAGTTCCCACAAACAATATTGACCTGAACAAAACATAGAAAAAAAATACTCAAAAGAATAGAAGCACTAACAACCTTCCAAAATAAGACAATTGTGTACATATCTAACCTGTGCTGTACGTCCAAGTTTGTCATAACTCTGTTCACAATTTGAGAGGTCTCCATGGTAAAACCCCTATATGTATGTCATTGATCACGAACAAAACATTCACAAGTGAATTCATGTCTCGAAGAACCAAAAGTAACTATGATGTCATATCCCAAAAAAGCAACTATGATGTCATATCCCAAAAAAGCAGAGTAAAGAAGAGAAAGCTCTTACTTGAACGAAATCAAAATTTCCAGAACTAGAAACAAAGTAGCTTAACGGGTCAAATCGTCCGAAATCAACATATCCCTGCACACACACACAAAAAAGTTCAATTTGTGGAATCTAGAGATGAACAAAGCTTTTTGATGACATAGAACTTTACCGCCTGGCCTCTTGTTTCCACATCCTTGCAAAACCTAACCACAAGATCAAATTCCTACACCAATATAAAGACGAGACGTAATCAAAAACCCAAAGTCCTTAAAAACTAACTCTCAACGTTATAAAATGAGAAGATATATAGCAACCTTGCCATCATATTCAAATGGATGGCCGATCCAGCTGCTCTGATAAAAAATCCAAGTTAAAGGAAGCAGCTTCACAAGACACTAAATTAAAACCAATGCAACAACAAAAAAAAAAGCCTCCTTTACTCTTGTTTTACACAAGAATTGATGATCCTAAGCTTGCTTCTTCTTAACACAAGAATAGAAAGAGGATACAAAATCGACAAGACGACTTGAATTGTCAAGAGCGTAGCAATTAGAATCAGGGACGGGTACAGATTGAGCACCAATTACAAAAGCTGCAGCATTTGCCAAAAGATTAAAATTTCTCAAAAGCTCAAAAAAAATCGAAAAGAGAGAAAAATCACGAAATGGGCAAAAATTATGAGACCAGGTGATCTTACCGGAGATGAAGAGAAATAGAATGAAACTGTGCTCTCGTGATGATGAGCACTTCCTCAGTATCAGCATAGTTAATCCCTGCAACTGGGTCGTCGTCGGAGTCGAGACGAATTAAATCCCAAGGTCTCTCTCTCTCATACGAAGGGAGTTGAATCTAATTAAACCGATTCGGTATAAATCACATAACCGACCCAAAATTCTGATGAGGTTCTTATATGATCTGATAACCGAAAGTCTACTTTGATGCTAACGTGTCATCAAAGAGGGTATCTATACTTAATTCGGCCCATCAATGATAACACTCTACGCTAGACTCAAGTGTGTGATATGCTATGGGCTCGATGAGGTGATTATAATTGGGCTTTTATGGCCTAGGATAAATGAATGGCGAAAGGGTTCTTTATAAATGGCTTTTAATTGGGCTTTTATGGCCTAGAATAATTGGGCTGGAATGATGGTGGATGATGTTATGATGATGATCTTCAACTACGTCTTATAATTAACTTTTGTGTGCTTGCCTCTTTTATGTTTCAGTAACAGCTACTCCAAGACTCTTCTTCTTTGGCTATATTATTCCAGTCCCAAGGCAGGTTTACTCGGTGCCAAGTTTCCCGTCTAGTCTATCTTTAGATTCTTAATGGTCGTAGAAACACTTTGGTCGTTTGATATCCATAACATTCCACACAAAGAAAAACACATGGAAGACGAATACAGAAACTCAGTAACTCACGACAAACTAAGAATTATAAACGAGATGGTTTTACTTTGCTCTATTTTTCATGAAATCATAATTTTTAGCTTGGGGAAGATAATAAAGCATCTCTTCCCACATCATCTCTCTGATCATGCTTTCTTCCATATTCTCATCAATATCCAAGCTCACCGGAACATTTTCCCTTGGATTGCATTCAGGTTCCAACAGCCCCGCCATGTAAGGATGTGAAAGCGCATCGCTGACCGAGATCCTCTTGGTTGGATCAAACACTAGCATCCTCTGTAACAAATCTACAGCTAGAGGATTTGCGTGCGGGTAAATCCTAGACAAGTGAGTACCCTTTGAGAAAGGAAGAGACTTTACAAATCTCCTAGCTTTCTTGTTATCTATGAACTGGAGATCCCAGTCTTGTTGGCTACCAACAACATTTATGATGAGCTTTAGCTGGTTGAGGCACTCCGTTCCCGGGAATATCGGTTTTCTTCCAAGGATCTCTGCGAATATGCATCCCACCGACCAAACATCAATGGAGGTTCCGTAGTTGTCACAGCAAAGAAGAAGCTCTGGTGCTCGGTACCAACGTGTGACCACATACTCTGTCATCAATGCTCGGCTTGTTCTCGCAAGCCCAAAATCACAAATCTTTAGGTCACAATTTGAATTCACTAGGAGATTCCCAGGCTTCAAATCCCGGTGAAGGATGTTAGCTGAGTGAAGATACTTCAACCCTTTTAGCAACTACAGTCACAAAACAACACAACAATCTCAGTCAACAAACCAAAGCTTAACAGAAAGAGAAAAAACAGAGAAATGTAACCAACCAAAGTACCTGAAACAAGAAGTACTTGCAGTGGTCATCGGAAAGAGACTGAGAGGATTTGATGATCTGATTCAAATCAGAATCCATAAGCTCATAGACCAAGTAAACATCTTTGAAGCTATACCTATGAGGAGGCAACATAACATCCTTAAGAGATATAACGTTTTCGTGTCTCACATGCCTTAGAAGCTTGAGCTCTCTCAATGTTCTCAAGGCATCAATGCGATTCTCAAAGACATTGTGGATCTTTTTAATGGCAACTCTCTCATTGGTCTCTATGTTGATCGAAGAACAAACCACACCATAAGCTCCTCTTCCAATTGGTTTGATCGGAACATACTTAGTGTCGATTTCGAATAATGTTTGCCACATCGTGTAGTAATGTTTCCCTTCTTGTCTAATCCCATTTGGAGGATCAACTAGCATCGCCATTCTTCTTCTTCTTTGCTAAAATCACCTAACAAAAATAGAGTAGAGATATCGAAAAGGTTATCTAGAAATCATCGTTTTTGTTTTTTGGGGTCTAATCCATGGAATTGAACCGGGTTTATAGAAAAATTTTGACTTTGTTTTTTGGGAGGAAACAACAGAATCGAAGCTTGCTTCCCGACAATAAGTGGAGCTTTTTGCTCGCTTACGTTATTCCTCTTGGAAAAGTAAAAAAATTCAAACCAGAAAAATCTTGGCTTTACTTAGCTATCAATCTTACTACCAAGAAAGTAATAAAAGAGAACTTTTGTCAAGAGTCATTATCATCAGAACACTTGAAGAATTAAGTAAACTAGCAAAACAAAAATAAAAAATCAAAAGAATATCGTCAATTAGCCATACCTATCAGCAATGATGGATCAGAGGAGGACAAGGGTTCTTCGTCATTCGTTATCCACAGATTATAATGGATCAGATAAATTCAAGGCAAAGATTTGGATAGAGAGAGAGAGAGAGATCGTGAGCTGCCCCCATACCAGAAGCTTTACAAGAGTGAGAAGAAGACTAGTCTTTACGTTAATCTTTTCTAATTGCTCTAGTAATTCGATTTTGTGATTATCAAATTTTATTTTAGACTTAACATTTTTTTGTATGCACTCCTATTTTTGGAAAATTATATAAAAATAAATGATGGATCACCAGCCAATTGCAGATGGTCATATGTAATTATTTTGAAATGTGGAGATATAAAGTTGCATGCTGTCTCTTAATTATCAAAATTCCATTATCTCTTTCATTAATTCATTAATATACTTTAAAGTAATTAGTTTTTCTCCCCAACAGGTAATTATTGTAGATCTAATATAGTATTAGCCATAATTGGAAGAAAGAAAAGAAAAAGATAAACATATAAAAAAAACGCGTGGATGCATGTAACGTGCCACGTGGATTTCGTCGAGTAGTGGCAAGCTCTTGATGGGACCCCACTCTGGTAAGAAGTTTCCGCGCTCAATCATCATCATAAAGAAAACCAGTGACGTCATCACACCAGTTCATGTATTTTGATGATTTTATCGCATTGGTACATTTGATGATTTGATCAAAAAAATTACATTTTTCAATTGCTATGCTACTTACTAATTTCATTTAATATGACAAGTTATAGTTACGTGTAGTGACTAAACTAGTGGCAAGCACAAACTGTACAATTGCAATTTTGATGTACATGTTAATTACTAAATTCATAAGAGAAAGTATAATATACACAGAGAGAAAGAACAAAAATGTCCTTCTTTTCAACTTTCTTTAATAATTAGAAAAAAGAAAAAAAAAACACGAATTGATTTTACAATAAGCTTGGCGTTGATGATATGATCGCATTGGTCGAGAGACATTTGGATACAATACACACACACAAAGACATTGTCAATTCACCATTGGAGCCTCTAATTCTTCAAGAGACTTTCACCTTCCCATGGTTCCTCACTCACCAGTAGTTGAACTGTCCGGACAAGAAGCAGAACACAGTCAGAGAACATAAACAACACTTTGATTTGATGGCTTGTGTCTCAAGTTTCACAATTCTAATGAAACAAAGAAAAGGACTTACAAGCTTCTTCTTCTTCTTTTTCTTCTCAATGTATGCCACGAGCTCCTCTTGACGACCAAGAGAATCATCCAAAGCCTGCATCATAAAGAAAATTAGCATTATTGGAGGAAGAATTATTGAGTACACCCATGCTAACGATTCAGAAAACATGTACCTTCTTGGTTGCAGCAAGCTCTTGCTCCAAGACATTGGACCGGCTAATGGCAGCGTTAAGCATCTCTTCCTTATCCGGGGGCATGACTGTTGGCTGCGCGCTTAAGACGGTCACTTTCTGTTCCAGCTCAGCCATTCGTTTCATGATGGCCATGAAATCTTCCCCTGAGATTGCAGGCACAGTCATTTTCTCTGACTGCATCGCACTCTTGTTCATTGACGCATCATTGCAGTACATGGGGCTTGAGTACAAGGTTGACTCAGTTAGTTTCCTTGGGACGTTTTTAGTCACTCGAATCATGGTGACAACACCCATCACAAGAGCCATGACCCCGGTGAAGATAGGAGACCTCCCTCCTTCGGTTGTTGCGTTGCTACACGCCTCTTTAATAGCATAAACTTCTTCTGCTTACAATAAAACAAGTAGCCCTGAGCTCATATGTCTTAAATTTTATATAAAACAACCAAATTATGGATGCGCAAGAATCATCATCATACTCTTCGAGAGGGAAAATTTTTGAGCTTCTGGCTTGTTCCAGGCTGGGTGACCGGCAGGGACCTGAGTAGAAAGAAAAACATAATATCAAAAAAAGTGTTGGTTCTTGCTGATCTACACTTGTTATTATAATATAGAGGTTTGGCCAATCTTACAATTTCGGCCCCTGTTGAAGACTTTTCCTCTTCAGGAGCCGGCTCTGTTGTAGAGTCATCTCCCTGAAAGATTATAGAATATGTTTCTTTAGCATTGGTAGGAGTGATAAAGATTCAATGAAAGTAAACTATTCAAAGCATATATAGGTAAGCTCAAAGAAGCAAGACCTCAGGGATGGTGTTCTCTGCAATGTTTTCAGCTTGGGATCTCTTGGAACATTTGTGATCACCATTGTGTACTTTCTGTTAGAAAAAAAATGCAAGATCAGGTGTTATTAATGTTGCTGTGTTGTCGTAAGAATAGTAGAAAAGCCATTAACCTTCATGATCTCTGGGTTTTTCCATGGGCCTTTGTCAGAGCGCATGCAGCCTCCTTCGTCAGCACAGGTACAGGAACCTCCAAGAAATTCAGGAAGTTCACTGGTACGAATTGATATCAGAACTTCAGTCATCAGTTTCATCTTATACCAATAGAATAAACTAGTTTGTATGCTAATTAATCTTCTTGTGCAGCTCTCACCTTTCATCAATGATCTCAAGCAACTTGCTTTGGTACTTGTTGCCAAGAACCTGCAGGTATTCAAATAAGCTACTTATTTAAACTTATATCATTCAGAATGTAAAACAAGCACATTCAATAGTAAAGGGTTTGAATACTGACATGGATCTTTGCTGTAGTCTTTGGGTCAAGGAAGGACTTAACCGTGTTCCACAACATTCTGAATCCTGAGCCAGCATTGATGATAAACATCCTGTTCAAGGTCTGATCCAAAGACGTTAAGAAATTTAAACTAACTGAACCAGAGGTAAAAATAGGTTGACCAATGAAGATAATTGAACATAGAAGTATGAATCATGCACACCTCAGGATAGTTGTCACCATCAACCTTTTGAAGACGCGTGATCAAGTCTCTGGCAGCCTTGTTGAAGTTTTTGAGCCCCTGTTATAACAAGAAGAAGACCATGGGAGATTGTAATTAGTAAATACAAAATACATGGCTATGAGTAGTATAGGTTTTTGTAGATTTTGTGAACTTTTCACATACCACTCCTTGGACATCAAGAATAGTTGTGCTTTGATCAATGTGCTTCTTTGCTGCGATGGTGCACGCTGGTAACTTAACATTAAAGGTCCTCTCAAACTCCCTAACATGGTAGTTGACATACCTATCCATGGTTGTTACTTGCATCAACTTGGTAGAGTCTACTAGACCTAGCCTCTCAATGTACACAGGTCGCCCTTCTTTGTCAACTCCGTGGTGTCCTTGAGGGTAGTATTTCAACACTTCATCAATTTCCTTGAAATCAAACTCCTAAAACATACAAAGAATCAAATGTTAGTTCAGGAAACCAATCTTCAAAACGTTCCTTGAATTATAATAAGGGTATATATACCTCCATGACAGTGTCAGCACCAAACTCCTTTCTCCATCTAAGCATTTCAGTCCACATCTGTTTGGTTTTCTCGAGATCAAATTTTCTTGCCTTCAAAAATCTAAGCATCATATGGTAGTCATCGTGTTTCTCCGGGAGTAACTCATCAAGTATAAGCGATTGGCGAAAGGCATCAACCGCTTTCAACTCCTCGGCGTCATGCACATCTTCGATGATATCCACAGACATCACTTTGCTACTTCTCCTTCTCTTGGTCATTGAATACCTCAGATTCTTAGAAGAGCTCCTCTTCTTAAAAGAACCCATCCTTGGTTTCAACTCGGCATCTAAAACAACCCCAAACACAAAACAACATTAGAAGATAAAACAAAAGACAATATCAAGAACTAAGAAAGGCTTCTTCTTTTCTTGTTTACTTTGGTTCAAAGACATGATTCTGCCAGATAGTTGGAATAGGCAGATAAGGGCAGGATGGACGAGCACTCTAACAAGAGTGTCTTATTAATTTAACCAATGCCCTTTGCCAAATTCCTGCAAGAAACCACATCCTTTATTACAAATCAAATTCGAACAACGATCGATGAACATGGAGGAAGGAAACAGAACAAAACAGAGAGAGAAAAAACAAAAAAATTACCTCTGCAAAGAGAAGATGAGATTATGGAGAAAGATAAAAAGGAGAATGAGTTTGGTCCGAAAATATCTCAAAATCGTTCCTTTGGATTCTCGGCTCCATTAACGTCGAGGTTAAGCTACACCTCATATTCTCCCTCATGTGTTTCTCTTTCCCCAACCATTGATTCTTCTTCTTTTTTAGGTCACAGTTTTTTTTTCCGTTTTGTTATGAAGTTCTAAATATACAAAATTTAGAAACAGATGAAAAGAGAGATACGACAACGAGCCAAAGCGTTGTTTGTTGTTGTTATTATATATCCTGTGCACTTTGTGTCTCGCTTTCTTCGTTCAGACTTCAGATTATACGCACACCAGTGTTATATTGACACGTGTCAATTGAGATTTGAAAGAGGTTATTACTATGCAAACAAGCTTCTTGTGCGACAAGTCATCAAAGGTTTCTTTTTTTTTGTTTTCCACAAAATTGAAATTTAAGAATTTCTGCAACAACAACACTAAGTCTACTTGATCATCAAGAGAATCAGACGGCGGGGAAAAAGAATCAAACGAAAACATTTGGAAATTTTTCATAAACGTAAAGCGAACAAGAAGCCATTGTCTTCGAGAATTCTCCTTCGTCAATGTCAGCTTCAGATCAGCCACAAGCCTAGTACTGAAAGTACCATAACCGGTTTAGGAATCGTTTCTATGAATATCTGCAAGCTGTTGAGTCTGCGAATTCTGTGTTGTCTATAATCTCAAACACATGTGTTGACAAGAGTTCCCTCCCCTTGGTGTTGTTTTTGAAGAAGAAGAGAGTGCTCTCTGGATGAGGTTTGGTGTTTCAGGACTTGAGTAGAAGCTCTGAAGCAAGTCTCTTCAGAGACTCGGATGCTATAAGAAGATCAGATTCCGAATGTCCTGATGAAACGTATAGTTTGATTCCCACAGGTAACCGGCATTTATCAAGAAACGACCTTTTAGAACTCACAACCAACAACGAGTCTTCCTTCAGAGCCTGCATGCATCAAGTCATGTCAAGAAACGGGGACAAGGTCTAAGATTTGGTTTTGCAAAGAAACAATGAACTTACACGGTCAGCCATTTCCTCAAGTAGAAGCAAATCCTCTTTAGCTGAACCGCTAGATTTCTCTAATTTCAAGAAAACAATAGGTGATTCTGGGTTGCTTGTTAAGGACATACCCTTGATATCTGACAATCCTGCGTTGTTCCAAGCGTTTCGTTTTCAATCAGAGAAAGATAACAAACTAACAAACTCTAATTGTTGCTGAATAAGATTGAAGATCAAACCTTTCCATAACAAGGCAATATTTTGCTTCAGCTTAACTAACATATCAGGGTTTTGATCAATGACATCAATCGCGGTGATAGCAGCACTTGCAAGGTATGGTGGCAAAGAAGCAGAAAACACATAACCTGAACTGCTGAGTCTCTGTGTATTTGAGAGTCCCACAGAGAATCAGATCCTGCTATCAGTTTTCGATTTGTTTGTAATGTAATTAGTTAATCAGCATGATCGAGGTTTTACCTGGTAATCGATGATGCGGGCATTCCCAGTGCAAAATCCACCTTCTGTGGCTAATGCATGGCCCATTGCAGCAGTCACAACATCTATCTTCTCAATCTGTTTCAGGATAAACAGCCTTAATTTCTGCATCAGGTTTAGCAAAAGAGAACATACTAAAATGTGTCATTAATACGTACAGGGACACCATGATGCTCTGCAAGACCTCTCCCAGAACGGCCAAGTACGCCAAAAGAGTTGCTTTCATCCAATATAACACGAAACCGATACTTCTCTTTTAGTTTTACGATCTCATCCAGAGGTGCAATTTGACCAGAATTCTGCAGATGTTAACATACTCAAAGGAAAATGGGTAAGGGTAAGTATTCACAGTTCAGGGAGAATTTTGAAAATGTGGAAGCAGGAGAAGATAGAAAACAGGGAGGTGTTTACAATACCTGATATACACCTTCAGCTACAATATAACGCCTCAAGTTCTTTGAGCGCTTGTACTTTGTCATGATTTTCTCGAGGGTACTTCTAAGGGATTCCATGTCATTGTGCTTGAAGTACACAATTGTACTTCTAGAAAGCTGGAGTCCATTTTGTATCCCCCAGTGAACACCCTCATCGCTGAGAAAATTATAAAGCCAATAATGAGTTTAATCTCGAGGTAAAAGAGTTTCAAATAAGACCCCTATCGACAAGAACTTCAATGCAATCCTGATACTAATGTAATCTAGTAAGTAGAAAGACGTTTGTGTACTTACGCAACAATGATATCGCCTTTCTTACAGAAACAAGGAATTGTGCTGAACATCGTGGAAAGTCCATAAGAATAGAGGATGGAATCCGGAGTACCCAAAAATTTTGATATTCTGGTTTCGCAATCAAGGTGGACATCTAGTCAAGAGAAGTAATCAAATAGTAAGAATCCTTCTGAAGCTAGCTAATGGAGGAACCAAAGTAGCCATCACAAATTACAGTTTCATGCTTTTCTTACCAATTGTACCATAGAACCCACGAGGACCACAAGAACCGACACCATATTTTTCCAATGCAGAAGTACATGATTCCTGGCATAGACTAATCTTAAACATAACTGTTCAAACAGAAGAGACTGTATTGAAAACAAAGGAGCTTCACATTACCAGCAACTTCTCGTGTCCAATGAGTCCCAGATAATTAGCTGAGGCAAAATTCACCACGTCTTTACCATTAACTGTTGTATGCGGTCCAGCAGCACTGTATGGACCCAACAGAATCTTTAAGCATAAATGGAAAAATGACTACAAAAACGGAATAAAGAAAAGTCTTCTAAGACACCTTTCAAGAACTGGAGGCTCATGCTTCATGTCTTCAGTAATTGGCGGTATAAGAGGGTCAGGAATCCATTCATCACATAACTCATCTATTTCCTGAGTAATATAAACACCCGGAAAACCAATATCATAAGATAAACAAAGATGTTTAAATCCTAAGATCTATGAAACCAATATCATATTCGGATATGAGAAAGAACCTGTTCTGTTAATGGTCGCTTAGGGGGTTTGAAGCTCTTCTGAGTGAGGAGAATGAAAATGACAACACCCAACAAGGCTTCCAAAAATAAATGCCCTGGAGATAAAGAAAGTTGAAATCCTTTTAGTAAAACTCAAACACCCCAAAAAACTTGATAGACAAAAAGTTCAGCGTAAAGGTTCTTCAAATCTATACCTTGGATTGGGACACCGAACAAGACAACTCTAGCTGAAGGATCATCCAGAATCTTTGTAACCCAAAGTAAACCGGCATTAAACATTTCCACGAGCTTCGAAGCCATTGCTAAATAAAGCTCTATACTTTTTTCCTTCTATAATATTGATTTGCTCGACGGATCGAGCAAAAGGGTAGCTACCTCAACTTTAGGCAATCCTACAGAACCAATGGTCACAATTCAGAGAATTTAAAATGAAAAAGGAAAATTTGAATCCAATTTTGACATAAAACAAACAAAGCCGTATCAGCAAAGATCTGTAAGCTGATCACTGAGCAATATGAAATCGAAAATCTCGGGAAAAAAACAGATTAAGAAACAACATACAATGATGATGACAAGATTAGATCCAACACACAAAACGAAGAATGTTACCTGATCCCAATTGGAAAGGAGCCACAAGGTATCGTGCCCACAAGAGTGTCAACAAAACACAACACGAGGAGTGTTTTTCAAAATTGGGGATGAAAAAAAGATTTGACTTTCAACGTTTTCTCGAGATTTTTGATAACGCACAGGTTGAACAAAAACAAAAACAAAAAAACCAATTACAGAAATTTATTTTTATTAAGAAAAAAAAAAACCAAAAAAAAAAAGGAAAAGAGGAGGAAGACGAGCGGATCTCTCTATGTTCGTAATATAACACGTCAGCAGGATCTCGGGCCCAGATCTGTTTTGATACGACAACGTTTACTGCTAATGGGCTTCGTTTGAGGCCCTATGATGTTGTATTAATCCCTCAAACGACACGCGTACGTGCCTCTCGAACATAAAACTTATTTCATACCAAAACTAGTAGTAGTAAGTAGTAATCTCTCTGTCTCTTTCTCTCCCCTAAGAAAGCAAACACTTCACTATCAATCAACAAACAGCATTCATCACCACCACTAACGTTTAAAGGCAACGCAGAGGCAGAAAGAAATTAAGACTACCAAAAGCCTTAACGTAAGGAACACAAAAGAGAGAGTGTGAAAGTAGTATACTAAAGCCTAAAGGTACGTAAGAGAGAAAGAAACTGTAATGGTGGTCACACCATAACATCATCACCAATTCTCATTTAGCTGTTTCTAACCCTTCAAAGTTTCCACTACATTAAGTATTCCTATTCTGATCAAACCATATTTCATATACTACAATTCATCAGCATTAGTGAAACCATATGATGATGTGAATACTGAATACCCCAATAGATGAGTTCAAAACTCAAAAGTGAAAGTAGAACTTGAGAAAGAAAGACTACTAAATCTGACCCCCCAAAAAAAGACTACTATAAAGGCTTAAAGGTAAGGAAGAAAAAAAGAGAGAAATGATGGTCAGACATACACACCAATCATCATACACCCACCCATTCTTGTTTTAACTTTTATTACCATCAAAAGTCAATCAATCTTCTTCCTCCTTAATCATATTCTGTCCCAAAAAAATATACTATTCCTTTATAATGCTTTCTGACATTTACACAGTTCTGTCCATACATATTTCAGCAAATTAGAGAAACCATGTGATGGATGATGTATATAATTAGATTCTACCGAGAATCGAGACGTCTCTCTAAGGAAACATTGAGTTTATGTTAAATGATAAAAATATTGACAATAGAGTCCACCCCCACTGATAGCAACATAGAGTCTAAACACTGATAGCAAGAACCGAGTAAAGAAAGTACAAACAATATTACATGAAGCCATCATTATGTAGTTTGACTCATTTGTATCTAACTTTTTTTAGTTCTTCGTTGATATCATCCTTTTCTACCTTTTTTTCATTCCTATTTTTTGGTCACTTAATTGGACTATACCTACCATTTCCTCCTTCTGAACTAATTGCACCCACCCAAAGAAAAAAAATCTCATTTATTTATAATTTTTTTTAAACCATTCAATGCTGAAAAAATCTCAAATGGTGATCTCGAGTAAGAAAATGGAGTTTATGATAGACACAAAAAAACAGCCAAATAAATAATAATGAATGATTGATGTGACAGGCCAATGATTCTCCTTTTTTATAAAGAACAAACCCTAACCCATGATAACCCAAGAACTTACTTGAGATCTCAACCTTTATCTTTTTGTTTTTGGTATTGTCATAATGGATAAGAAGGATCTGGAGAGAGAATTTCACATGACAGGAGGAGATGGCAAAACAAGTTATGCCAAGAACTCTTCATTGCAGGTTCTTGAGATTTTTCACATGTTAGTTGCATAATTTTTTACTCTCTGATTACAGTTTCTAACTTGTTTTCATCTTTTGCAGAAGAAAGCATCTGACATGGCAAAGCACATAACGCTAGAGACACTGCAACAACTCTACAAAGAGACAAGAGCCAAGAGTTTAGGAATAGCTGATCTGGGATGTTCTTCAGGACCAAACACTCTCTCCACCATTAAGGAAATGATCGCAGCTGTCCAAGTTTCTCACCACCGCGAGATCCCAAACCAGCCCTCGCCGGAATTGAGCTTCTTCCTTAACGATCTCCCCGGAAATGACTTCAACTCTATATTCAAGTCTTTGCCTGACTTTCATGTAGAGCTCAAGAGAGATGTCAGCAGTGGAGATTTCCCTTCAGTTTTCATTGCAGCCTACCCTGGTTCATTCTATGGAAGGCTCTTCCCTGAAAATACCATCCACTTTATCTATTCCTCTTACAGCTTACACTGGCTTTCCAAGGTGAATATATCTATATATATAGACCTTTAGGTGAATCTATATACATACTGAGTTGTTTCTTTTGTCCTTGCAGGTTCCTCCATCTTTATATGACGAGCAAGGCAAGTCCATAAACAAAGGTTGTGTTAGTATCTGCTCGATGAGCTCTGAAGCTGTTACCAAAGCTTACTACAGTCAGTTCAAGGAAGATTTCTCTATTTTCCTCCGGTGTAGATCAAAAGAGTTGGTTGCTGCAGGAAGAATGGTGCTCATAATACTCGGAAGAGAAGGTCCCAGTCATGCAGATAGAGGGAACTCTTTCTTTTGGGAACTTCTCTCAAGAACCATTATGGATCTTGTTGTACAGGTATAGAGAAACAACTGTTAATTTTACAAATGATGTGGATCTTGATTAGATAGTTCATGATGTTTCAATTTATAATCTGTAGGGGGAAACTGAGGAAGAGAAGCTTGATTCTTACGATATGCACTTTTACGCCCCGAGTGCTGCTGAGGTAGAAGATGAAGTGAACAAAGAAGGGTCTTTCGAATTAGAGAGCATAGAGGTGTTAGAAGTGGACAGTGAGAAAGGTGAAGAAGAGGATGGTACCAGTTATGGTAATGCGGTTGCCAAGACTGTAAGAGCAGTTCAAGAATCAATGCTTACTCAACACTTTGGGGAAAGGATTCTGGACAAGCTGTTTGATACATATGCCAGAATGGTTGACGAGGAGTTGGCCAAGGAAGACATAAGACCCATCACATTTGTTGTTGTCCTAAGACGAAGGAAGCTCTGAAACATGTATGCATGTAGCAAAACATTTAAAATTTACCAGAATAACAAGAAAAGAGAAGCAAAGCCACGCACTCATTGTTCATTACACTTGATATATGTAGCATTGGCTCCATCTCCATCTTTATAGCTCTTTCTGAAGCACAAATCACTTGCAAATGTCAATAAGTTTTTCACATTAACCAAAGAGCAACGCCGAAAAATTCCAAATTATTTAGCTAATTCTTGATTCCTTGCTATCAAAAGAAGAAACTGATTTGTTGACGATTTTTTTTTTAATTCCTACAAATTGAGCTTAAAAGCTCCCGCTGCAAGCATTACAGAACCAAATCTTGAATTACTCTATCTCTGGTTCTATACACCAAGTTTACTACTTTCAAATCCAGATACACAAATCTTGAGTAAAGAACACATCGATCTCATTATGTACAGAAAACTTCGAAAGGGGTAAAAAACATTTACCTTAGTTTCTCGAAAACCTAATTCTCTAAACCGGAGAAGACGAAAGCTTCTTGGAAACTAAAAGACGAGCCACAATAAGATAGTATTAAGTTCTACGAAGAAGTTAGGCTGAATCTCCCACAAATCTGACAGTTTCTCTTATTAATTAGGGTTTTTTGCAGTCTGTTGGGAATTGAGAAGCCTCCCTTAAGCTCCACGTAACCAACGGAGATTAGGCACTGAAACGGCATCGTATGTGCCGGACTATAAAGTTAAAAGACACCAAATACTGTTTGACTTTTGACTTGTCTAGTCTAGACACATTGCTTTGAAACTCAAATAATTTTTCAAATCAAAACTATGCTCAAAAGTATACAATTTTGTTTCCAATATTTATAAATATTTGTTAACAAGATATTGGATCATTGAAATATACACATATCATCCCAAATTTAAAAGACTTGATATTTAAACAAATAAAAGAACTTAAACTTTCACCAAATCTCTCTTTCTTGATAGTATTGTTTGACAAATGGAATCGATCGATCTACTTGTAATAAATAACAGGAGCATTAGCTCTGGAATCCCACATACCACCTTCTTTCAAATACTCAAGATACCTAGAGAACTCAGGCTTCGTCGTCGTCGACTTCTTCTTCTTTCCGTAGAAAAGACTAAAGATAGGGTGGCTGAACTTGCTTGTTGGTTTGACTTTCTTGGATTTCTGACGAGGAAGCTCCTCAAGAATGGTCGGAACACCGCCAGTGCCGAGCTTAATAGATGGGGCGTAGTAAGGAACACTCGTCGATCTTCTTAGCTTTGCTCCGAGTAAACTGAAACTTGAATCATCACTCACTCTCTCATATCCTCCACGACGGCTTCTTGTCCTCGTGCTCAAGCTTCTTAGCATTTGCATCTTTTTCTTTTTTTATATATGTGTGTTGATCAAGTGTAAATTTCGAGATTTCAAGAAGATGGTGTGATGAGATGGTTGTTGTTTGATGACTCTCGTCAAATATTGTGTTATTATATATAGAGAGAGGTGATGAGATTTTATGGTTGTAACTTGGTAATATGGTCAAAAATTGGTTGCTAGCTAATTTGACAAGTCCGACAATTATAATGTTATTTTAGTCCCGAGAGTATATTAAAATGAAGCGAAGACAACTAGACAAGGACTGTTTCGACGAGCTTCTCGGACTTTTCAAATCTCAGTATCTTTAACGCAATCCTTGACCTTGAGCTCATCAAGGAGCTTCCACGAGACTCTCGTCTCTGGGGCTCATTATTAACATGTTTATATTGTTCAAAGTGGGTCAAATAAATGATACTCAATGTTCTGTTTACAAAAAAATAAATAAAAAATTCTAGAACTAAGACAATAATTGTTCAAAGTTGGTCAACTTAATGATTCTCAATGACTCGATATGTTCTGTTTAGAAAAACATAAATAACGTTTGTGTGTGAATAGCATTGGTTGTAGAGTATTATTTTTAAAAGAAGAAAACATCTGTATATGTTTGTGTGTGATTAGTATTGATTGTTGAATATTTTCTTTTGTCGTAAAAGTATTATTTGTTATCTAATTATTGTAGGTTTCACTACTTTTCTTTATAGATTTACATTTCTTAGGAAAATATATGATATCCTTTTTGAAGACAAACTTTTGTAAGCGGTACCTCAGTTTATGGATTGGTGTGATACAATTTAACAGTTCAGGTTTCAATCTAGTTAAACCAATCCTAACCTTTTTTTTATCTAAGTTTTAGGATCGGTTAGGTTGAGAACAGCTAGCTGGGATGATCTGAAATACTCTGAATGAAAATACACGCCAAGAAATAATAATATTTTTGTAGATTGCTAACATACTCATATGATCTCTTCTCAATCATTACTTGTAACATACTATTGGAGTGGATCTCTTCTCAATCATTACTTGTACCTAAATTTAACATGTACAAAATAGACAGTAACTTCCGACAAAAAATAAGTATTATAACTGGTCGTTACAAGTAGTACAGAGATCGAATGTAATAACAATTCGCAGAAAGAAAAAAAACTATGCAAGTCTCTGCGGATGTAATAGAAATTTGTATATTGATAAGAAAATTTACTATATTAAAATCTACAGAAATTTGTAGAAACTGATTACAATGATCATCTAGGCAAATTGGCAACAATCCTTAGTGACAATCTAATTAAAAATAGAGGATATTTACTCTTTACCTACTCAAGAAGCACATGACTTATCTCTTAATAGACTTTACAACAAAAGAATGAAGAAAAAATCAAAAACCCAAGGTCAAATGTCAATAACATAAGGCTTCTACCTTTCTTCTGAGTTGAATCTGTTCCAAGCTTCCTGGAAATTTATTAGTAACAATTAACACTAATTCAAATTTCTAGAATCACCAATTCATAGAGTGTGTGAAAAGCTGTCACAGAACATGATGAACTACCTTAAGAAGATCGAAGACCTTTTCAGATATATATTTCTGATGAATGTTTGCACCTCGTTGCTGTAGTTTGTCTGGATGAACACAAAGTGTTGCTTTCCTATATGCTCGCTTCACGGCTGCTGATGTTATGACTTCTGTTAACGGTAAAGGTTGCCATCCGCTCTCGGGACCAAGGATCTGGTTTCATATCAAACAAAAAACAAACAACTCAGATTTTGAGACTGAACTCTGTTCTTTTTCAGCTTTGATCTTCATTAAGGAAACGTACGTATTGTAATGTTGACAGTAATGCTCTTATGTTTCCTTCTTTCCCATTTGACCATCTCTTTACTTCTGCATCCAAGGTTTCAGCGATTCTCTGTAAGGAAACCGAAACAAACTGTGAGTTTTGAAAACATTTGAAGGCCTTTGTTTTTTTAAGTTGAAGAAGAGTTTCGGTTTGGTGGCTATACAATTCTTTCTGCTTGTTCTCTCTGAGCCACGAGATCACGCATGTTCTTCTCTGCTAAAGCTTTAGCCTGTCACGAGTTATATATGATCTTACATTAATTAACATCGACGGTGTATATTTTCGCTACGAATTTTGGAATATAGAAGCATTAATTACCACACGATCAGCTGTTCTTCGATGCCTTTCTAATCTCGATGTATACCTCTGAGGCGATTCACCATCTGTACCTTAACAGAAAAAAGACAGTGTTAAGCTAATGGGGGATGGGAAAACAAAAGAACAAGATACTTTCAAGAGTATTTGTACCAGGAGAATCTTGATATCTTGAAGCACCAAATGAGACTGAATTTTGAAATTGCTTATCGGAAACTGATCTCTCCATTCGTTCATCAAAGAAACCTGAACTCTGGAATTGCTTATCGGAAACAGATCTTTCCATCCGCTCCCTTGCCTCAAAAGCAGCCTTTTCAGCTGCACGTTCACGAGCTTCAGTGGTTGCTCTCTCCACTGCAGCTCGCTCTGCTCTAAGTCTTGCCTCGATTGATAATTTATCAGGCAAAGACTTCTCTCTAGCCTCAGCGCATGCTTTCTCCAATCTTTCACGTGCATCAGCCAAGGCTCTCTGGTCAAAAGCCATTCGATCCTTCTCCCTCTCTCTTTCCCTCTCACTGTCTTCTTCTATCTTTCTTAAGCGCTCCATCTCGATGCCTCTTTCTCGCTTTAGTCTCTCTACTTCTTTCTCAAGTTGCACAGATACTCGAAAACCTGCTTGTGCCTCATAGATACTTCCTCTCTCCTGTTGATGGGTGAACTTATCTTCATGGCTTCTGAAACCAGAGGATGTTTTGGTAGCGCACTTACTTTCCTCTTGGTTCCTTTGATCACTACCAACACATGCTGCTTTTCTCACATTTTCGTCTTCACCTACAACGTCTTTTGATCTTTCTTCAACTTCAGTTTTCAACCCATTGTCTTGTTTGAGAACTGATGCATCTTTAGAGGTTTCAGAATTTTTACTCTTCTGTTCGTGCTTTCCTCCTTTAATATTCCCAGAACTGGATTCCTCACCAGATTCTCCATTTTCACTCAACTGTGGTCCCTCTTCATTCCTCTCAAACAACCTGGATGCAACATCTAGCTCATTGGCTCCTTCCTTTTGGCTGGCGTCTTTAAGGTTCTTCTCAAAAACCTTCCATGGACAGGTTTCTTCGGCAATAGATTCTCTATGGCTTGGTCCTTCTTCTACTTCCCCTTGGTTGGTTGGTGATTCGTGGTCGTCTATACTCTCATCCTCTTTTGTATCACTAAGACTTTTACTCGATGATTGCTCTCCATGAGCCTCTGTGGTGGTTTCACAGGTTTTTTCCATTTCACAAGCCTCTGTTTCTTTCACGTCACTTTCTGTTACTGAATAATCATGTTGTTTTATTTCATTGTCTAGATGCTCTTGATTTTCTCTTTGCTTGGATTCTTCCAGCCTTATCCTCATCTCTTCCTGTTCAAGATCCTCTTTCAGTCTTCTTTCAATCTCTGCCCTCTCAAAAGCTTCTAGCAGCCTTTTTTCTTTCTCTTCTAGCTCCATGGCTTCTTTCAACCTCTTCTCATTCGCCTCTTTTTCACGTGCCTCTTTCACCTTCCTTTCTTTCTCCTTTTGCTCAAGGGCTTCTTTCAACTTCCTCTCCTTCTCTGTCAGCTCGAGAGCCTCTTTAGCTATCCTCTCATTTTCTTCTCTCTCTTGAAACTCTTTAATCCGCCTTTCCTTCTCTTCTTGTTCAACTTCTTTCAGCCTTTGCTTTAGCTCTGCCTTCTCAAGAGCCTCTTTTATTCTTCGTTCATTTTCTTTCTTTTCATGTGCTTCTTTTAACCTTCGTTCCTTCTCTTGTTCAAGTGCAACTTTCATTTTCCTTTCATTCTCTGCCTTCTCACGGGCTTCTCTCATTCTTCGGTTATTTTCTTCCCTTTCCAAAGCTTCTTTTTTCCGCATTTCTAACTCTTGTTGTTCTTTCATTTTCCTTTCTTGTTCTGCCTTTTCACGAGCCTCTGCCGCTCTCCGTTCATTCTCTTTTTTTTCACGAGCTTCCTTAATCTTTTTTTCCTTCTCTTCTTGCTCAAATGCTGCCTTAAGCCTTTTCTCATTTTCAGCTTTCTCAAAAGCTTCTCTTTCTCTTCTGTCATTTTCTTCCCTTACACGAGACTCTTTGATCCTAGTTTCCTCCATCCGCTTCAAGGCCTCATTCAGTTTTGCCTCACTTTCGCCACGCATTCCCAATTTTTTACCATTTTCGTTTGATTCCAAGGGAACCTCTAGAGTGCTTCCATTACCAAGAGCCTCTCTGAGCTTTCTCGCATTTTGTTCCCACTCAAACACACATTCCTGTTTCTTATCAGCTCCTTTCTTGTGTGGTTTTCTATCCAAGTGTTGACTTTGTATGCGTTTTGTTTTCTCGTCACAGTGCAATTCCTTTTTATGTTTTGCAGAATTTTCAGTAAAGGCCTTGTCTTCTTCTGGTCTGAGCAGATTTCTGTGTTGCACTATCCCACCATGGTCAGGCGAATTGTTGCCCATCTCAAATTGCAGCTCCTCATGTCTCGATTTCTCATTCTTTGGCTCTTCAAGAGCCTTTTCAGCAAGCTTGTTCTCATGTCTCTTATGCCTAGATGCTACCTTTCTCGTTCCAGGGTGTTTTGGCAATTTCCTCGCTTCATGATCCTCCCTACCTCCTTCTGCTCTCCTCCGCTGTTTGTCCCAGTCAACATTAGCTGCCCATGTCAGGTCCTGATCGAAAAACTCTTCATTAAGGGGAACAGAAACACCTTTTCCACCACTGTTCTCATCAGCATTTCTTGGTAGCTCTGTTCTCACCAATTCAACAAATTGATTAGCCTCTTCCCATTCATCATTTCCATCAGAGTCTGCAGACCCTTGAGAAGAGAGTGATTTACTTCCATGCTTATCCCTCAAAGACTTTTTAGCTACAGGCAAACCAGCTGTTTGGCTTGATTTCCCTTCCTCAGTCATTCTATTCTTCGTGGTGGTCCGTGCCCCATCCCTCTTCCTTTCAAACAGCTCTTTAGAACTTCTGAGTTTGGCCTCAGCTTTTACCATAGCTTCTCTCTCAGCAGCCGAACTTGCATCAACCTCTACATCAAAAAAAGTTGGAGAACTACTAGCAGCAGATCCTTCTGATCCGGTGGTTCTAGAACTAGACGCCGAACTTCTAAAACCGCTCTTTAATACAGGAGGTGGCCTCGAAGGAGGTGGTATCCCAGTAGGATGAGTCTTCAAACCAATTTCAGAAATAGTAACAAAAGGTTCACTACTGTAATACTTGTCTTGAGAGGCGAATCTACTTGTACCTCTGCTGCCAACAGAAGAGGGCCCAGTCTCCTTCTTGAGCTTTGTTGTTCCACCAGCACAAATCATTTCATCCACTGCAGGAGTGTAACCAGGAATCGCACCAAGATCAGCAACACGTATCACACCACTTGACATACTTGTATCGCCGCCGCCGCCGCCGCTTATCTGAGTAGCTTTGTTATAAGAAACCTTGAACTCGGTGCTTCCATCAATGGAATCATAAGAATCTCTACCATTAGAAAAACAAGGACTTTTGCCAGAATGCTCTGTACCTCCTGAACAGGACTCTACTTCTTCGGGAGTCCTACAAAATATGACACTCAAAATTCTAAAAAAGAAAGCTCCTTTTTCACAAATTGAATCAATGGTAAGAAAAAAGTTTAGATTTTGATCAGTACCAAGCGTCGTCGGAGGAATCACCATCAGCAACCACCGTAGACCTCTGCTGCAAAAAGAGCTCTTCGTACGACGGAGCTAAATCGAAATCGTTGAGACCTCCAAAGACTTCACGGTAGTCAAAGCCTTGAGTCCGAACATCGAAGTAGACACCTTTATTATCAACAAGTGGAAGATCGAGAACCGGAATGGAGGAAACGGCGGCGCGTGAGGAGCCATTGAATCCGGAGAAAATCTCGCAGTAGTCTTCGAGACGAGGAGATAACGTGGGAGCTCCGAACCTAGGAGGACCACCGAAAACGTCGTCGTATGTAGTGGTGGTGGTGGTGGTTGTTTTGCCGGAGTTGTAGCTAAAACCTCCACCGGTGTTGTTATTGCCATTGTAAGGTTTCTTAGGTAAAGAAGAAGACCGGTTTGGATTCCGAGAATGAGTGAGATTTTCCATGAGAATCCAAAAGAAACGATTCTTGCAAATATATCTCTTTTCTTCTTCAACCTCTCTCTCTCTCTCTCTTTCTCTTTCTCAGGCTTCGGAGCCTCTCTCTCTCTCTCTCCGTTGAGAGAGTATGAAACAATGAATAAAATGAATAAGCTAAGATTTTAAATACCAATATATATGTGGAGAAACAGTAATTCTTAAGACACGCCTATATATCTGTCTCTGATCGTGTTGGCCATGACTAAAATTATACTATTGTTTTAAAAAATAAGTATATGTGTCTGTATAAAGACCAAAATACTAGGTTTATATTAAAATCCCCATCTTTCATCTTTTCTTCTTTAGTTTATTATATTTTTCATCGAATTTTAAAATTTGTTAAACTCGATTGGATTCCTTCGCTTTTGTACGCAGAGCAGCATCCTACAGTTTTTATCAATCTGAATGTTAATTAGGACCACTTTTCTCTTTTTTGCGTAATATCTTTTCAATTATTTGATTTAATATACATGAAAAAGTTATCCTAAGGAGGATTTATATTCATTTTTATTTCCTTTTCATATGTTCAGATGTTGAAACTCATGCATATAGAAACAAAAATAGTTAAGAAAAACAAAAGTTCAAATAAAGCAAAAAAAAAGATCAAAACCACAGATATGATTCTTAATGTTGGCCGCTTATTTATTATTATTAACAAAAAAAAAGGGGATAATCTCTAAATATGATCAGTGCTTCTTAACCTTTTGTTTTACATTTCACATTTATCTAGGTACTTTAAGTTGAAAATATATGAAAAAGTAACACCAATTGGTACTACTAATTAATCTACTTACGAGAACACTAATCATTTAAGTGAGTTGGAGCTTATAATGTACTCCCCCAAAATAAAAATGATTGCCCACCCAACATAATTAGTGTTCTCTTGTAAATGTTAGGGCAATCATTTGAAAAGACTGTTTCTGAGCATAACTAGTGTTTCTGAGCATAAGTTATAAACCAGCTCAGTCCATGAAATAAAAGGAGTTGGTGGTGCATAATGATCACCATGGAAATAAGAGAAGCAGCTCGCTCGCTCCAATATGACCTGGTTTCCATTGTTGTCTAACAAGAATTATATATAGCGTTTGAAATGGAATCGAGATATTTGTATTTCTTGAGTTAAAGAAACGATGGAATAAAAAGAAAAGAAAGGAGGGGTCCTTGTGTTGGCCACTTTGGTTTGGAATCACAGCACTCAAATATTCATACGACCATTTTCGTAAACCAATTATTACATATTTTGATATATTTGTTAGCTTAGGTGTTGACCACCAAAAATATAAAGCGGCTTAGGTGATAAATCATAGGGCCCTTTCATATTTCTTTATCTTTGCAAATCAAAAGTCATACGAAGAAACTGCCTATTGTAAACCATACTTATTCAAGTTAATCAGTTAGTGGGTGATTCAGATTGTATATAGAAATGAATGGCTCTTGTCATTTGATTCAGCCAGCGACTAATTTGGAAACCTCAATTTAGTGCACTCTTCAATTTATAGCCCAAGAAACGAAAGGAAAAAAAACCTCCTACAATTTGCATGTTTCACACGTGTGAAAAAACCTGTCATTGTCAAAGTCAATCTACTATTTTGTATTTTTGGTAGTCTTCTCTTTTCCCATCAATGTAATAAAATTTCACTGTCTTACTATCTTAAACTTTTGTATTGTATTCTTTTATTATCCATTCTCTTGAGAGGTTTTAACCACACCTGCTTCAGATAAGCAACTCAATGATACTTTCCCACAAGAGTTGCATCCATATTCGTTTATCAGCAAAACTTGATCAAGTCTCTGCTCTAAATCTCAAATATTACAAGTCCAGAAGCAGCAATTGTAAAACGGTAACAATGTATTTACAACTATATACTTCTTCCTTTTTCTTTGGGCAAAATACAACTACATACTTCTTTCACAAAAGGAGTCTTTATATATCCAAGGCTTTAGGAGAAGATGTCTTTGAAGCTACATTAATGGACAACCAATCCAACATAGCCTTGTTTACAGCTTCCGGGACTTCGTCATGGGGACAATGCCCTGCTTGTAAGTGCACTAGCGATGAGTTCGAGTAATATGCTTTGATTTTCTCGGCTTTTGTAGGACCGACCCACGGGTCTAGATCTCCCCAAAGCAACAGAAGCGGGCAAGTCATCTTACTTAGAACACTATCTAGGGTGTATTTACTCTGGTTTGATAAGAACCTTGTCATCAATCTGTAAGATATTAACAAACAAACGATAGTTAGGTCTCTTTATGTATTAAAACAGAGAAGCTCTTTATTGGTGTTTTGTACCTGTAGTATACTTCTCCAGCATTTGGATCTGTTGCAGGTTTTGAAATGGATTCGACGAGGTAGTCATCGACATTAGTAGAGTCTACATACACCTGCATTTTTGCAATAAAAAAATTTGACTACAGAGTAACAAACTTTGTGAAGAAAAATCTGACAAAGTCAACAAGACATTACACTCTTTAAGACAGATTCAATCCGAGAAGGCTGCTTGGCTTGCCAGAACAAGAACCCAAGAACCACGCGTTGGAAAATTTCTTTAAGTGGCTTAACTATAAACTTGGTTATAGCGGTTTCATCAACTTCCTCACGTTTTCTACTCTCTGCTGCAAATTGTCCTGCAGAGTTTAGAAGTGCAACTCCCGTGACCTGCTCGGGTAATCCTACCGCAACTGTCAAGGCTGTGAATCCCCCGAGGCTATGGAAAAAGTCGAAAACTTGTTTCAGGTTTCCTTATGAATTGACAAAAAGAGCTTCAGAAAACAAATTCATTTACCTGTTTCCGACTACAACAGCTGGTTCTTTCACTATCTCTTTCATGAAATCAATAACTTGATCTGTCCAAACCATGGCATCATAGTCTATGAGAGCTTTGTCACTCCATCCGAAACCAAGTAAGTCCAAGGCGTAAACCTTGTATTTCTTAGCCAATTCAGGAATGTTATACCTATAAAATTGTATCGATTTTATCTCCAAATTAAGTGAATCATATAAGCTCTATATAGCTGTCTTAAAACCTATAACTGATAAGAGATGATCCTAAAATAAGAGAGAAAGAATGACAATATAATAGCTTGGAACTTGGAAGTGAAACTGAGGGGTACCTCCAGTGAAAGACAGAAGCACCAAATCCATGAATAAGAACGAGAGGTGAACCTTCTCCTTGAACCACATAATGAATCTTGTGACCCCTCCATTCCCAAAAGTTATACCCTTCTGGCTTGAAAGCCAACCTCTCACTACCTAAAGAACCATCCATTCAATTTCTTTCAAACAAAGATAACATTTTTAAACCAAGGAGGGAAGCAATTGTCCAAAAGCTAGGATTTTTACCTTGAACAGACTGAGAAGCAGAAGAAGTACCCATGACTGAAACTCCAGAAGCAACAATCCCTCCTCTAATTGCAAATTCCCTTCTGCTGATTTCACATTTGTTCCCTTCGTTGCAAAGATTATAAGATTGTTAATAACTCAGGCTTAATCTTAGGAAAAATTTGGATGAATGGTTGGAGTTGGAATCTTACTGGGTCGGCAAATTTGAGCAGGAAAGATTGATCTTTTAGATGATGAGCTGAATAACTCTGTCCTAACAGGCGGTGTTACAGCGCACGAAGCAGACATCGATTGATTCACAGAGAATAAACCTCGTATAATCAATCTCCAAAGACAAGAGAACTAGATATTTCAGAATTGAAAGCTAGAAAAACAAACGTTGGGAGCACCGATCGTGTATGTGAACTGGCGGAAGAGTTGTGGCGATGCCTGAGCCAGACAAGTCGAACCCGCTCGACGAGACAGAGTGTTTCATAAATTTGCGATTATTATGGTTTAACAACAAAACCGGTAATCTCGAATAAGATGAACCGTCCGGTTTAGTCGTATTTGTCCCAAAGATCCTTTGATGTATCAAACAGAAGCTATTGAGTTATACTATACACAACAAGATATTTGATACACACAAAAGCTTCAAATCCTAATGGTGACGACACTCTCTTCGTTAAAGTTGATGTTCCAAACTCTCTTCCTCAGAATCTCTTACGTCATTGTTGAATAAGTAAGAACTTCATTTGAAGTAAACTGAAATGTGATTCCTGCAAATCACATAGATTCAAACATTAGTGAAAAAGCCAAACAACATTTAAGTACATCTTTACTCGATTTAAGCCAGCAGTAAAGCTCTAACCATTTTTTACATCAACATAGAGAACCACTAACTTTTGTCCAGAAACCCTCCAAAACGGCATCAGTGATAAGAGCAGCCCACTTTCTCTAAAACCTCTCCAAAACAGAGGTTGTGAAATGTTTAACGTGGCGCCGTTAGTGAACAGATAAAACGACATGCATGTTTAGTCTGAAATATGAGAACGCCAATGTAGAAGTCTCAAAATTGATGGGAAAAGACCTAAAGAAAAACATCGTTGAGTAAAAAAAAAAAAAAAAAAAACCTAAGTAACGTAGACACATAGTAAAACATTTATAGATTTGACATTGTATCACAATCTCGGCTTGAACTTTGTTATATATACCCATATTTGGTAAAATCACCCAAAATTTTGTATGGAAGATTATTTGGTGTAGGTAAATGTCTTCAAAATGAAGAATCTCCCAGTGATCTACTTATCTACAGAATAAAGAATGTTCCAAAATAGTATTGATTCTTTGAATGATCTCACCCAGTGTGTAGATAATGTATAGTAGATAGATATATAAAATTAATAAATATAAAAGAAGAAAAAACAAAGTATCGGGACCAAACACTTAGATCAAAAGCAATGGTGTCGCCTACCTTCCTATCACTTATCTTCAATCCCATTTTCATCTTTAGGTCTCTTATTTATTTTTGTCCCAATCACTAATAAATTTTCGATTTTTTCTTTTTGTTAAAGCCTATCACTTGTGGTTTATTTGCTCTCTCTTTAATATATGAAATAGAATATGAAAAATATTGGTATAGTTTTATAGATTGGTAATATAGATGGTAGTTTATAATAACGTCACAAGGTCAAGGATCACGGTATAGATTCACAACAAGACATGGAAATGATATCACTCGCCCGAACCGCTCATGATTCAGACCGTTGTTTCTATTCATTTGTAAGTTAAGATTCATCATTCACATTCCCCACATTTCCAACCTTTTAAGCTTAAGAAACACTCTTTCTTTAAGTACGATTCTTAATTATAACACCAAATTTGGATATTTGGTATATGATTACACCAAAAACTCAATGGTTTTGATTCTAAAGAAAATATGTTATCATTGTATAATTGTACCTTCAAGCCCTAATTTTACTAGGTCGATCTGATTAGTTTGGTAAGTTTCAGTTGCCAAGAAAAAAGATCCTCTCAAAAACTTGAAAGGGCAAAAGAAAGAAGGAAAAAAAAAAAACAGAGAAAAGACACAAAAAAGACTAAGTTAAGAGACTCCTCATATCATGTTCATAAGGACATGACCACATGGTAGGTTATGTCATTTAGACCCTACAACTTCTCATCTCACCTTCTTTGTCCCCAACCTCCTCCACTTTTATCAATTTTGTCCCTCTCTCACTAGATTTCGAATCTCATGTGTGTGGGTCAATGTTGCTTTCTATTTAAAGCTAAGAATAATTTTTATCATTTGGATTACTTTTCCTTCCACACACACATATAAACTTAACTCTCTCTATCTCTCTTTTGCTTTAACCCTCAAAAGGAAAGATAAAAGAGATCTTTTAAAGTTTTTTTTTTTACCTTCTCTCCATGGACTTGTCTGTACTTGATAGGCTTAAATGGCTGCAACAGCAACAGTTGGTTTCACCTGAGTTTCTTCAGATAATTAGCTCAGACGGGAGAGAAGAGCTCAACAGAGTCGAGAGTTACTTGGGAAACAACAATGATGAGTTGCAAAGTTTCAGACATTTTCCAGAATTCGGACCGGATTATGATACTATTGATGGCTGCATTTCCAGGACAAGCAGCTTCCGTATGGAACCAGTGAAGAACAATGGAGACAACAGAGCCATTGCCTTGCAGAACAAGAGAAAACCACAGGTTTGTTGCAGCTGGAGAAAGTGTTGATTTTTTGGGGTTTAGATTTTGTTTCAAATACTTATTTTGATTTGTCTCAACTTTTGGTTGTTAGGGTAAGACAGAAAAGAGAGAGAAGAAGAAGATCAAATCAGAGGATGAAACAGAGTCAAGCATGAAAGCGAAATCACACATGAGCAACACAGAGACATCTTCAGAGATTCAGAAACCAGATTACATCCATGTGAGAGCTAGACGAGGTGAAGCCACCGACAGACACAGCTTAGCAGAAAGGGTAACTAACAAAAGTGATTAATTACTTTCTAGGGAGATTTGTGTTGGATTTATCAATTGTGGTGGGATTTTGGCAGGCAAGGAGAGAAAAGATAAGCAAGAAGATGAAATGTCTTCAAGATATTGTCCCTGGATGCAATAAAGTTACTGGAAAAGCCGGTATGCTTGATGAGATCATCAACTATGTCCAATCTCTGCAACAGCAAGTTGAGTTCCTGTCGATGAAACTCTCTGTCGTAAATCCAGAACTTGAGTGTCATATCGATGAATTATCCGCAAAACAGGTGAAAATACACACAGTCATTTACATCTCAAGGATTAACCTAGTTTCCCGCATTTACTGACTTGTTTAGACTGGAAAAAATCTAGTTTCAGGCTTACTTCACAGGACTTCCAGAAGCTGTCTCGAAGCAGTCAATGATGGCGGATTTTCGATCTTTTCCATTACATCAGCAAGGATCTCTTGACTACTCAGTCATAAACGCAAATCAAATCACATCTCTCAGCGCTGTAATAATCTTTCCTTGATCAAATCTTTCAATATTTCCAAAGTCTTGTTACTTGTCCCTGAAGTAACTTTTTTCCTTATTCTTCTCTGCAGAAAGATCAGACATCTTCAAGCTGGGAAGCTCACTCACAATGTCTTTACAACAGCTTCAGAACCGATTCCGTTTCCAATCTCTTCAGCCTCAAGTAAAAAGCTAGGGATAGAGACTAGAGAGAGTCATTACAAAAATCTTTTTTTTTCCTTTTTTTCTTATCCTTTTATCTATGTTATCTGAAATTTGAACCAGAAAGACAAAGGAACCCAATCCAAAGATCTTTCAATACTATCTTCTTCATACGATAGAGATATAAATTCCAGGGGATATGTATATGTGCAAAGTTTCTTGTGGTCATAACAATTCCTTGTTGTACATTGTAGAATATATATAAAATTATCAAATGGATAAAATAAAATAAAATAAAATGAAGGAAAAATCCAGCTGAACTTTTCATATAGTATGTATCTACATAAAAAAAATGTTATGCTAAACAAATAATGTTAAAAAAATGCCTAAAATAAATGATTTACATAAGCAAGCTATTTTCCTCACAATTATATCCTTTTTCACAAATTACAACTATACTTGTATTAATGGAATCAACATATTCAAACCTAAGGCAATAAACAGAGAACCAAAAGAAATAAATGAAATTTCTCAAAAATTAAGTTAAAACGAGCCTAATTGAACGTATGTTTGGTATCTATCTCTTCTTCTTATTTTTGGAGAAACTGATTCCAAAAAAACCAGATTTCTTAGGAGCTGGTGTTTTTATCATAGGTTCCTGATAAGTAACAACCTGTGGAGTAGTTGAAACAGTTGTTTCTTCTTCTCTTCTGTCGACATCTACTTCTTCAAGAGCTCTAAGCAATTCCGATGCACCCACCTTGGCTTCCTCTGTTCCATTGTTGGATATCAACAAAAGGGATGAGTAAATATCAGATACTTGTGCCAAGACAAGCTCACAGTACTCGATCTTTTGCACACAGAGCTGTAGGATGATGGTGATTGCATTCTCTTGCTCCTCAGGAACATTTGACTCGAGCAAGTCAGCTATGGAAGCTAAACAATCCGGAGTTTCGGTGATACAAATCCGACCTTTCTCAGTGTTGCAGAGGTTTCTCAGAATGATGATCGACTGTTTGCAGAAAATGTTTCGTTGCAAGAAAGATGTGAGCTTCTGGATGAAATCGAGAGATACCATTTCCAGGCATATCTCAGCGCTTGATGAAAGATTCTTGAGTGTGATCATAGCTTGTTCTTGGAGATGTGCTGCTTGAGACTCTGCGATCTTCAAGAGGGAAGAGAGAGAGCCTGATGAAGTTATCTTGGAGAGACCGTGCTGGTGGCTGGAGACAACCTCAAGTATGTTCAGAGCTTCTTCAGCTACTACATCAGACTCGAGAAAGACCGAAAACATTTTGAAAACCTCTGCTTCCAGAGATTCTATAGCCTTCCTGTTTCCATTGAGAAATGCCAATAACAAATCCAATCCCCCCTTTATTATGTCTCCTGCAGTGCCATTTCTTTCGAGAGCATTCTTCAGATATGTGATAAGTGGCTCAAGAAATTTACTCGGTGACATAGACCGAAAAGCCCGAGTACTGTGCTCAAAACGACTTTTTACATCTTCGATGACCTTGATCTGTGCATCCCACGGAAGGGTAGTGAGTCCACATAAGGGATCTATCTCAATCTCGTTGTTACTAGAAGAATCTGTGACACTAGCGCCTGAACCAGAATCTATCCGCTGCATTGGCGTAAAGTAACTCCCCTTTAACATCTTAGAGTAGGATGGTGAATCAATGGAATATGCGTTGAAATCCGTAATCGAAAGGCTGCTAAGATCTGGGATATTGCACAGGGAACTTCCGAAACTAGCAATGGAAACAGAGAAGTCGATATTGCGAGAAGCATTTGTGTGCATCATCGCTGGTTCTTGAACATCACGACCGTTCTTGGCGCACCACTTTGATATCTGATTCTTGATCGCCTCATTAGGCTCCAAAGTGAAATCGTCCAGTCTCCTTCTTGATTTAGGGCAAAAAACATTACCTTCATCGAACCATTTCTGAATCCTCATCCTCTCAAAGGTATGACCTGAAGAAATGATGACAGGATCATACATCACGCTACGTGAAAGCGGGCATTTAAATTGCTCGGGAAGTGTAGCACTGTATTCCTCAGAACACTCGGCTTCCGCAGCATCAGCATGTAGAGAATCATTGATGAACTGATGATGTGAGAAAGAGTTCTCTTCGTGCTCTTGACAGATGATTTTTTCATGCTTTTTCAGGAGACAGAGGAGATACTTCAAAATCTGCTTCTTATTCCCTTCACCCTCTCGTAATTTCTCCATAATCGAAATTAAGGATCTTCTCTCAATCACAACGGCTTGAGGAGTTAAAAGATGGAGTTTTGATGCGGCAATATGGAACTCTCTGATTTCATCCAAAGAAACAGAAGACGACGTGCTCCTTCGCATCAAGTCTCTTATAGCTTTCCCAGCTTCTTCTTCAGATGATTCTAGAGTCAGCACAGTTGATCTAAGATCTTGGACTATCTGAGTTATCTGCAAGCGAAACTCCCATGAGTGATTTTGTAATATTTTTTCCTAGAAAAAAAACGAGCAGAAACTTAGTTTGGAACAAACCTTGGTAGCCAAAACAGTCGGAACCATACTTCGAATGTCGTCTAAGCATTCCTCTAATGATGTTTTTGCTCTAGAGCCTCTGGTGAGTATAGCATCTCCTGTTACTGCCTGAAGATTGAAGCATGGAATTAAACACGTTAGACCACATAGCGATAAACCAAGGGATAAGTGCCATAAAATCAACTAGGAAAATGTGTTAAAAGTTGAGTTTTTAAAAAAACATCACCATGTAGAGTTTACTAGATTCTCTGCAAGATTGGAGAAGCTGCTTAGCTTTAGCAAGAGATTTGTGGAGTAAACAAAGAGTCTGTATCCCTGAGGAGCAACCGGGTCGAGCATCTTCTATATGAGGAACGATTCCATTGATTCGATCAACTAAGTTCTTCAGTTCTATGCACATGGAAGAGTGCATCTGAAAACAGAGTAACACAACATGTCATTACAATATAACAAACCTTAAAAGACATAAAATTCCATATCATCAGAGACAGCTGATAAAACAACACAAACCTTATAGGAGTGATGCATCCGTTCCTTGTAATCAATGGCCATCTAATCAAGAAGTTCTCTAAATTCTGCAAGTCTAATAAAACACACACACCAAAAAAGAGAGGTTATTTTAAGAATATAACTAAAGCATTACTAACAAGTTAAGCTGTAAATGAGATACTTGGTAAGAGAATTGACTTACCCTATGATGTCAACGGATACCAAAGCAACTCAATAGAAATGTTGTCCCAAGAACAAAATCAGAGTATTTCTCTTGCAAATCCACCGTATATAAGGAAGAGAAACAAGAACTGATGATAAAAGCCGAAAATTTCAGCAAAAACCTTGAGCATACCTCTTCCTCTACTAAAATCCAAACACAAACCCTAAACTCTCTGTTTTTTATAATAGAAAGAAGGAAAAAAAAAACACAAACTTTTTTCTACTGGGTCAAGGAAAAGAATCAGTCTTTCAAGGTTTGTTCGTGCAAAGATCTCTCCAAGGTTTGAAAAAAGAAAGGAATAATGAATGGGTTGGTAAAACCTGGAGAGGAAAAAGAGAGTTTTGAAGAGAGAGATGAGAGAGAGATTATGAGGGAAGACGAAGAAGAAGAAGAAAAAGAGAGGAAGAGGAGTGTGAGTGTTAAAGTGACAGCCTTTAGAGATGACAGTCGATTTTAAAATCGTCGAGCTAAAGACTACTATTGGGCCGTCACAAAGTCTATATCACCGCGTTCATTTGTTTTTTTAACATCATACATACATAATAAAAAGAGTGCCGTGTCAAGCGCAGACTAAAATTGAAAGGACGAGGTCTGAGTGCTCGTTGTGGTCTTAGGTCAATACACATGCAAACAATTCTATAGCTTATATAGTAACTAATATTGACAAATTTTTAAAAATGAATATTAAAAAAAAAAGTCTGTCTATTCCTTTTTTTTTTAATGAGGATGTTGGTTTTTTTTATAATAAAAAAGTCTTCCTTTCTAGTTTTGCTTTACTTCTAATCGTATTATTAGTAAAGGTTGTTAAAACTAATGATAGAACCATTCATTCTTTCTAATAGAGATATTGATGATGATAGTGATGTAACTTAAAACGCTTTGTTTTATTTAAGATAAGAACTGGTTACTTTTTTCCAGTCAAATGTTTGACTGTAGTTTTGGTTATGTTAGTGTACGTGGTTCATCTTCTTCATCAAATTAAGTTAATGATGGTAGAGTAGGGTTTAATTCTAACGGTCGAAGCATGAGACAGTGATTTCAATTATGTACTCTGATAGAGTACTAGGGATTAATTCTAATATTAGAAAGTTGAAACTGTATAAGTTTTACTTATTCCATATCTTCTCGATGAAAATTAAGTTTAAATGATTTTTAATAGTCAAAACTATAATTGCAATATATTCAAAACGAGAAATTTGACTTTGTTTTTCTAAAGTTGTTCTTTGGGGTTATGTATTAGTTAATGAATTGTATATCATAGCTCTCCTAATTTCTGTCTATTGGTTAGTCTAATATAATCTAATTAAATAGGGTACACTTAAGGAAAAAGAAAACACAATTCAAAGTTACCACTAATAACTTCTTCTTTTTAGGTTCATTGGATTGCATCATATAATCTTGTCACATTTTGCATCATAGTATATAATCTTGTCACATTTTGCATCATGGTCAAGAAAGAAAGGAAAAAAAACCACGTACCTTGGGCCCTGGGTGGTGTGGATCATGACAAAAAAATAAAAAAAATACTTACATCATCACCAAAAGATTTATTCAAAATTACCCAAAATCTATCAAAGTTAGTAGTAAGGCAGACTTATTTTGATTTTTTTTTTTTTATATACATAACAAGTTAGCAAAACATAAAACCGAAGATACATAGATAGTAAACAACTACACATTTAGCAAAACACAGTATATTTCCACAACCCGAACATATATATAGTGATAATGTCAATCCCAACATAGAAACAAGCAACATGTTGCCTTTGGCGTTTAATACTACGAAACAGTTTTGGTGTTTTTCTTGGGCCACCAATTATACATAAAGTTTGAAATCAACCCGAAAATATCTGGAAAGATAATCCTCCAACATTTTATTTTTTTAGTGTGTAGTAAAGCACACTTATGCAAATCAAAAACATTAATAACATACGTATCAGCAGAGAGTATGCGTCACATCACATGCCACATTAGAGACAGAGCTAATAGCTAATAGAGAATGAGGGATATAGAGTAGTTTCTTGTGACCACATCCTTGGCAAACGCAAAGATAGATTATCAACAGCTAATAGAGAATGAGGGATATAGAGTAGTTTCTTGTGACCACATCCTTGGCAAACGCAAAGATAGATTATCAACATCTCTGAAAGACTTGTTCGTCCTCATACGTTGACTGGTCCAACTTTTTATTCTTTCCCCACTCGCTAAAATCTCTAATAGAGAGAGAAGAGTATCTTTTCTAAAAAGTGAAACCAAGCAATGGGAGAATAGAAGAAATGTTCAAGCATGGAAAGTTCAAAAGAGTGTTATCTGGCTTTATTTACATCTACGATTATAGAATAGTTATAAGGATATGACGATAGATGATGATGATGGATGATCCACACTTGTTGTAAAATATTATCAGTAGTTGGTACTTGGTAGTAGATATCATATTGGTTATATATATAATCATTAATTTTCTTCTTCTTTTTAAAGCGTAAAATACAATATAAATATAGGTGTTTCTTTGTTTTAAAAATGGTTATTGATTAAGTTGTGTTGTAATATGGACACAACATCAATGTCCCAATGCGAAAGCAGAGAGAGACGCCTCTTCATTGGCCAAAAATCAAAATCATAATTAATCTGCCCCATTGGCCAAATCTAAATAAAAGTTCGATTGTGATGTAAACTGCTTTGAGGGCCGGGGTTTAACTAGGCTTAGATAATACTCAATATATCATAAATACTCACATACGTTTGGATTTTTCTAATCTTAATTTAACCCACCAATTAGACCATCCGGTATCTTTTTTTTTGTATAGTAAAATATTTAAGTTTTAGGTCAAATTATGTCTCAAATTGTATAATATGATCGGCTCCACCCACTCATTGACGAGTGAAATTAATCTACTCTCAGTCTCCTAACAAAAACAGTGCTTTTATATATATAATTGCGAGTGACTTTAGATAATTACAGAGTAACATGACTTTTGATGTGTTTTGACCCACATAGTAATCAAGATTGAAAATTTTCTAAGTTTTGGTATCGCACACGTTTAGAGTTTTAGAGTTGGTGGTAGACGTAAAATTCAACCGAGGTATTGGTTACACGAAATTACATGTAACGCTAAACCTGTTAGTAGATACTTAAGACTAATAATATTACTGAACTTACCGCATTAAAGAAATATAACGTGGTAATGACAACTGGTCATGGGCTCATGGCATAGCTATAAGGCCCATATTGAGAATAGACTTCAAGCCCACTCATAGTGTAAATTAGATCATTAGACTGTATGAGAACATATACGCAGAGATATCATATTATTGTATTTTCATTCTACATTTATCAACTGTAAGCTGGTGATACTGGAATTACGATGTCGGGATTTTTTACCGGGTTATAAATATCCGATTCGGATCTAGTTAGATATATATTTCTTTCATCAACTCTTTTTCTCATTTATTGTAACGCATACATATCCATTTACGTCATCTTACACGAAACTGAATTAATATACATACATATGGGAAAGAAAATGAAAGGAGTTAATTAAATATCATTCAACAAATTCTATAAGTTTGACCATTAACGATTTCCGTAGTCATATTATCCTGCTTTTAAAACCTCAATCAAATACGTTATATATGTTAGTTAATGTTAATCACTAATATCGTATTACATGCATGTCCAGCTTGACTCAGTAAATTTACACGTACGTCAAAATGATTGGCTGCTTTTACTCTTTGTTTTTTGTTTTTTACTTACTGCAGCCAAAATAGTTGTCTCCGGACAATTCTGTTGACAAGGAAGGCAAAGTGAATGGTTTTTTATAACCCCCAAAAATGTGTATGATGACATCAAAATTAATATGTGGATTCGGGAACAAATATATGGTAATTAAGTAACGCCACCATGAGATTTCTTTATATTTAACCCACGAAAAACAATCCAAAGTAGTTAAAAAGATGTTAGATTAGAGGTTTTTACGAGAGGGAGCATCTTCTAAACGTCAAATATGGTCCACTTTAAAGGGATCAGGTAAGATCGGAATCTAATCACAATAAAGAAGAGAAACCAAAAAAAAAGAGAATTTGTCCCCCCTACGGACTGAGACACCAAACAATTTTATCAATTAGTACCTTCATAAAATAGGAGAGATGGTACCTCGGCTATATTAGTCCATATAGTAACCCCAAACACATTTATACATATATAATAACCTGCGAGAACCACATTATACTTTTTCAGTCCATACGAAATTAAATTACGATCATTTAAAACCGGTTTGGCTCATATAAGAAAAGGGTAACTCTAAAATGTCCGAACACAAAGAAATCGGTTCGGCACGTAAACAAATTGGCTATAAGGGCATTCACATGACTATAGCTAGACAAAACCGGACATGAAAACAACTTAATTATATATACTTAACGAAATAGTTCGACGTTAATTCGTAATGGAAGAGTAGTAATTAATATATATATATATATATATATGATCAGTGCTGACATTAGGCAGTGAAGCGTAGACGTGAAGGTACGGATCCAAATGGAAGAGTCCAAAAAAATATTCCAAGAGGACAAGTTGTTGAGTGGGCAAGTGAAGTTGAAAGGAGATGAGTATCTGCCAAAAGAATGTTTTATCATAAAGCTTAGAATAGAGACCAAAGGAGTACTACTGAGAGCTGATATTTTATAACTTTTTTGGGAGAAGAAATACAGTCCATATCTTCATCTTTCTTTTTTGTGTTATTTTATGTATATACATATATTTTTTTTCTTATAATTAATAAATAATAATTAAGTACAATAAAACACACCGAGTGGAGAGGAATCGGAGAGGTTAAACAATGTCGAAAACAAAGGAGCAGAAGAAGCGTAAGAAAGGCGCAGATGTCGTCGATAAGATTCATCGACGTACGAGATCTTCACAAGATTTGGAATTCGTCCACTTGTGTACACCACTCAATGTTAAGATAAGTGAGAAAAACAAACAAGAACACCTGAATATCCTCGAAAAGGTGCTGTGTTGTGTTTTTTTTTTTTTTTTTTGCTCTCTCTTCCATTCTCGTGGTTGTATAATGCATGCATGTTTAACTCCGGTTTAGTAATGCATGAAACAAAAACGAAGAGACAAAATTAAAAAAAAAAAAAAAAAAACTCTATATATGAACAATCTAAAAATTGTGTTGGGAGTATCTTTATTTTTATATCCACGTAAAATTTTGTATGCATGCGTCAAACGCAGGAAATCTTTATAAAGCAGTGGTGTACAATAGAAGTAGTTGCTTAAGTTTACTTAGGTTTAAATCAGCCAATCTTCTTAGCCCGTTTATGAAAAGAAAGACAAAGCAAAAGATTCCTATACCTGTAAAAGATCATGATTGACTGGTTTGATGACGAAATCATTATACTATAACCTTACAAGGCTCGGTTCTTATGGTTGACAAAAGTATATGTTTTTGTGGTCACGGTCCAGGGAGGAAAACATGTTTTGGAGGCCTAATCTCTCACTATTAAGCCAAAGCACTTCTTCGTAATATATACTCTGATATTTTTCTCTCATCTGAGGTACGTAGTAAAGCTACTAAAGAGCATCAAGACATAGTATCAAACAAAAAAGAGCATCAAGACATATAAAGGGTTTGCATGCATAAGTTTCCATCCTTTTCACAGATGCTGATCAACACGAAGCCAAATGTAACCAAAGAGATAACTCAGATGATTACAATATTACCAAATTTGCTATGAGAGCCATGAGAACGAGAATGGCAAAAATCGATGAAGTGGGATTGTGTTTTCTTTTTATGACATAACCAAATCACTTGGACATATATGGCATCTACGAAAAGACATGTCATCACTAACCTGTCATAAACAGATATTTCCAATCAAAATGGATGGAGATCACAAGAAGCATCAAACATGATCTAACAATCTCATGTGTTAAAAATAAGCATCGGATACTACAATATAGTGATGATAAGATCTCTACAAATTAAGCCTTAAAGAGGTAACTTAAGGTCCAAAAACATGGTTACTGCCTTAGTCGTTTACTGTGCAGATAGTAGCAAGAAAAAGAAAAAAAGAAAGAATCATTTAAATTTCTCAATTGCCAATGTCAAGGAATCTCGGGTTTCCATTGGATTGTTTTCAAAACTGTGTACCTTCTCAAAGACTTCGTGTGGTTGCTAAAAGAAATAGTCACTCTTAAAGTATATATTCTTCCAACTGGCTTAACCCCACACCATGCTTTCTTCCTCCTACTTATAAAGGAGCTTCTCCTTCTCTGAGCTAACCAAATCAACTCCTTTTTCTCAAGTGATACATACATCTTCCTTCTTTTTTCTCCCTCCCAAGAAACCAGAGTTCCATTAAAATTCAAAAGACTTTTTTCAATCTTCCACTCTCGATATACATACTTATTCGTGTAATGGCTTCAAACTCCATGAGCTCAAACGCTACTTGGACACGTAAGGAGAACAAATTATTTGAAAGGGCATTGGCAATATATGACCAGGACACTCCTGACCGTTGGCATAACGTCGCCAGAGCAGTTGGTGGCAAGTCAGCCGAAGAAGTAAGGCGACACTATGAGCTCCTCATTAGGGATGTCAATGACATTGAGTCAGGGCGTTATCCACATCCCAATTACTATTCAAATGGAAACAACCACTGAAAGTATTTAAGGAACTCTAAAAGGTAAACACAACAATTATGCATAAGAAAGCATTCATAAATAGACATGCAGCCTCCACACGTTTCTTTATGTGTAGATGTCTTCTTACTTAATGATCTATATAGTACACACCACTGTTTTCCATATCTATGAACTGTCCCAACTTCTAAATGTGGGGCCAAAAACAATCTTGTAACAGAGAATACAAGAGTTAGTTTTGTCGAGTTCTTGAAAAACTGATCATAAGCCATTATCTCTTATATTTATTCAACCAAAAAAGCTATTTCCTATTTATTCAACCAAAAAAAACTATTTCCTTATGAAAAGCTTGCATCCATCTTTTTATCTGTCTTTTAGCCAAGAAAAATCAAAGTCCCACATAATGATAGCATGTTCCATGTCTCTTGTCCTTACCATTGCAAAAACTACTCCACATACATAGACATTGGAGTACTTATAATTTAGACTATAGCTTACGTTTAGAATTATATCAAAGAAATGATAACGTAATATACCTATTTGTAGTCTTTTGTAGTAGTCAATTCATATGGCTTTTTAATATGTTGCAGGGTCTTCTGAGTTCGATATGGTTCCAAACCCACTCACAAAGAACATCTAAGCGAAGCTATATATAAATGTATTTACTTATTTTTGTGTAACGATTATGTAAGAATCCTCTACTTCCGCGCTAATCTAAATCAATCAGTGTGAGTTACATATAGTACCGATCCATTCTTACACATATCATATAAAAACCCAAAAAAAAAAAAAAAAAAAAAAGAAAGGAAGAAGATCAGACGATTATTAAAAACCCTGAATTGACGATCCAGAACATGTTTTGGTTCACTTTTGCACTCACCTCATCATTTTGGCGGGTAGCCTGATGACAATCTCCACGAACATTGTAATTTGATTGGACCATATCATACGGTAGTGCTCACAAACAAATCAAAGAGAACATCGATGATGATGATGATGGTAAATGAAAAGAAGAAGAAATTGAGAAGATTATTGTTTTTACTTCCACCTCCTTTCTTTTGGCGGATCAAACAATACTACTAAATTGTTTGGTTCTTGTGAGATACACGTGTCCTTATTTGGGGGAAAACTTTTTGCATGGAATGTTAATTTTGAATTACGAATTGTCTAAATTTGACAGTGGTGGTAATTAATTATTAGAAATACGTAGTTTGATATATAGATTCATCTCTATTCATTGACACAATTACACTTTCACATAGGTTCGAGCGTTAGAGAATACTGTTTATATATAACATATACGGGGACCAATATATTGACTTTTAATTTTTAGTATCAAGACTTATATAGTAACAAAAATTATACCAAAAAAAGTCAAAATGAGAGGTCCACTGTTGATCTTATACATTTTTTTTTTTTTTTTTTTTGTCAAGGTTGATATATGTCGAGTATTTTTTTTTCTTTCTTTTGCATAATTCATCTCGAGTATTATGTATTCGTTTTGTGCCAAGAAAGAATATACTTTTCTGAAAGAAAATAAAGAGGGGATACGATCGGTAATGTTTTAGAGCACATGCCTTGTATATTCCACACGTCGCGAAATTTGCGACCCATATGAACCATGACGGAGAATTGGAATTATACAGTTAAGTATTGATAAAATTTCAAATCCACATCGTCTAATTTATAAGAGATCAAGAAGAAGAGAAAGCATAATTTTAATTTATTTTCCTAGAAAAAGTGAGACATTATTCTGTAATATTTTAAAGCACATTTCTAGTTTATATTCCTGGCACAAAATTGCGACCCATACGAACAATAATGAAGAACGAGAAGTGTAAATTGAACTAAAAATGCTATTTTTATTTTATTTTTAAAGGGATTAAGAAAGCTATATATAAACTCAAAACACTATAAACTGACGCTTGTGAACATTTTTCTTAATACATTGCGTAACCATTAATTTTCAACGTCGAACTATTGTACATAAATCAACTGAATGCATGAAATTACAATCACAAAAAATAAAATTGGTAAGGTCTATATAAATAGTATAATGAAGTGGATTAGATTTGTGCTTAAAATATTAAAAAAAAAATAGGCTATATAGCCAAGATTTTTAAAACTTAAAAATGTGCAAGTACGTACGTTAGAATAATCCTTACATCCACTAGCTCAAATGGTGAGTTTTTTTGTTTGATATTCCATCGAGAGAATATACGAAAACTAAACTCAGTATTTAGTAGTTTTAATAATTCGAATGTGGATTGTGGAATCATTTCTTTCATGTTAAATAATTATCTGACGAACAATCATCTTACGTACCCGTGACTGATCTATATAAAACACACTGAATCTTTATAATTATCTATCTCTAGTTATCTATCATAAGCTCTAAGCTGAGTAGAGAGAACAAATCATTTACTTCCCACTTTTTTACGCACAACTATTGTACGTTTAGAACATGGCCCAATAACGAGCCTCATTAAAATTAGGCCCAAATCTGTATTTTGATTATTCTCCAAGCAAAGGAGAAGAAACTTTATTCGGTCGAGATTTATCATTTTCTTTGAAAAAGTACCGTTTAAACCTTAAAGTCTTAGCCACCGTGGGGTTTATGGTCGGCAATCCCAGAAATCGACCATCGTTCACCGTCAATTTCACGACTTTCATGAACCTTTAGCTCTATTTCTCAGTCATCTAAAAAGGGTCGGTCTCTTATTCTGTTGAAATCCATGGCTGCTTCTAGATTGTGTTCCGCGGCGGCGATAGCTGCTGCGTTCACTTCAATGTCAATGTCTCAGAACCGTGCTTATGCCGATTCTGGATTCCGGTTTCCATTCTTTTCCTCTTCTTCTCCGGCTCCACCTCCGTCAGATTCTCCGGCGAATCAATCCTTGTCGGACTCTAGTAAGCCTAAAGCAGAGCCTAATGAGCCCAAAGGATCGGGTTTTGACCCTGAGGCACTTGAGAGAGCTGCAAAAGCTCTTAGGGATATCAATAGTTCTCCCCATTCCAAACAGGTGCCTTCTCTTATCTAGTTACCAAAGTCTGACTGAATATAGGGTTTAGCCAAAAGGGTATTTTAACTCAAAAATGGATTTGGATTTGTGGAGATGTGTGTCTTTTGGGTGATTACAAAATTGGGGTTTTTTCTTAGCTTTTTTGGTTCTTGCTTTTTCCATTCAGGTGTTTGATCTCATGAGGAAGCAAGAGAAAACGCGGTTAGCTGAATTAGCGGCTGAGAGTTCTCAGTACCAAGCTATTCAAGCACGCAATGATATTGTAAGTAGTTGATTTTTAACTTAAATTTTTCATTTTCTGCCATTTTTAGAGAGGGAAATTTTTTTGATCTGAATCTTGATATGATTGCAAATTTTATGATGATCATAAGAATTAATGCGATCTGTTTTATGGGGCACTTGAAACGGGCAGGAGAGACAGCAGAAATTGGCTGAGGACAAGAGAAATCTTTTGCAGACACATGCGCAAACCGAAGCTCAAAGTCTTCGATATGAGGATGAGTTAGCAAGAAAGAGACAACAGGTTTTCTCCTTTATTTATGTGTTCTCGTAGATTGAATAAATTTTTCTGAAGTATAAAGTCTGACAAATATTTATGGTTTGGGAGCAATGCAGACAGATCATGAAGCTCAGAGACATCATAATGTGGAATTGGTTAAGATGCAAGAGGAGTCCTCTATTAGGAAAGAGAGATCAAAAATCACCACAGAAGAACAGATCCAAGCTCAGCATCGCCAAACGGAAAAAGAGAGAGCTGAACTTGAGCGAGAGACGATTCATGTCAAGGCCATGGCTGAAGCTGAAGGTCGGGCTCATGAAGCCAAACTTACTGAAGAGCAAAATAGAAGATTGCTTATGGAAAGGATAAATGGTGAAAGGGAGAAGTGGCTTGCTGCAATCAACACAATGTTCAGTCACATTGAAGGTAAACTGATAAATCAAGAAAGTTATATCTTCTTGCCTTTAGATTATTGACAAAAGGAAAATATCAGTTTTGTGTTTGTTCCTTTAGCTCACTTCTGTATGAAATTGGCAGGGGGGTTTAGGACCTTATTAACTGATAGGAATAAGCTGATTATGACTGTTGGAGGGGCTACTGCATTAGCTGCAGGAATTTACACAACTCGGTATGCATCTCTGAACTAGATCAGTTATTGAGTATTATGGGATTTTCTGAACCAGTTTGATTTGACTTGACTTGAGTGATCTTAGATTCTTTTTTTTTTTTATGACTGCTATTCTTTTATCTTTTTCTAATGGATTCTGTTTCATGATTTTTTTTTGAGTTAAAAGTGAAGGAGCTAGAGTTACATGGGGTTATATTAATAGGATGCTTGGACAAGGACCAACCATCACTTATTAGAGAATCTTCCATGGGTAGATTTCCATGGGCAGGCTCGATGCCTCAATTGAAGAACAGAATCTCGGGGGCAGCAGCAGCATCTGCAGCAAAAGGGAAAAAGCCGCTTGATAATGTCGTTCTTCATCCTTCTTTAAAGCAGCGAATTGAGCGTCTCGCAAGAGCTACATCAAATACCAAATCCCATCAAGCACCATTCCGCAACATGATGTTTTATGGACCTCCTGGTACTGGTAAAACTATGGTGGCAAGGGAAATAGCTCGGAGATCAGTGAGTTATGATCAAAACTATGCTACTAGAATTGTTAATCCCACCTTTATGAGTTCTTAGATATAATTAATTTCTGCAGGGTCTGGATTATGCTATGATGACAGGAGGAGATGTTGCTCCCTTGGGATCACAAGCTGTTACTAAAATCCACCAGATATTTGATTGGGCTAAGAAATCGAACAAAGGCTTACTTCTTTTCATTGATGAAGCTGATGCTTTTCTATGCGAGTAAGATCTCCCTCTCTAAGTTTCTACAACCCTTTGACAATCCAGCTCGGATTGTTTCTTCAATCAAAACTTATATATGAGTGGTCTTTTGAGGTGCATTATGTCAGGATATCCAACAATGATTAGTGGTTGTTTTAGGGTTTTAGATTTCTGACAGTAAAATGGTTGCAACTTTTTCTCCGGGATTAAAGAAGGATGGTCTCTCTTTTTCTTTGCAGGCGTAACAACACTTACATGAGTGAGGCTCAGCGTAGTGCTCTGAACGCTTTGCTCTTCCGAACTGGTGATCAATCTCGGGACATTGTTCTTGTCTTAGCTACAAACAGACCTGGAGATCTCGATAGTGCGGTTACAGACAGGATTGATGAAGTCATTGAGTTCCCACTTCCAGGGGAAGAAGAACGTTTCAAGCTTCTCAATCTCTATCTCAACCAATATCTAAAGAAGAGTGACAACGACAATGACACAAACCCCAAATGGAGTCATTTGTTTAGGAAGCTGTCACAGAAGATAACCGTTAAAGAAGACTTAACTGATAAAGTGATTTCCGAGGCTGCAAAGAAGACGGAAGGATTCTCTGGCCGTGAGATTGCAAAGCTTGTGGCTGGAGTACAAGCTGGAGTGTACGGACGGAAGGACTGTGTCTTGGATTCACAGCTTTTTGAAGAGATTGTTGAATATAAAGTTGAAGAACACCACCAAAGGCATAGGCTTGCTTCTGAAGGTTGTCAGCCATTACTCTTCTCTTAGTCATTGGGATTATAATTATACATGTCCATTTACTTAATTTAAAAATAACTAAACAAGAGTGTATTAGAAAGATCTTCTACAGATTCATTTTATTTTGACAACCAAAACCCATTTTATGGTGTTAGAATCATGAAACTCTTGTCTAGAAAGAGTCTTACATGTATCATATGTTAAAAGAAGAAAAAAAGGCATGACAGGCCCAATAACAATATAGCTAAACACTGGGCTAAAAGCCAGGAAAGTCCAATAGTCGATATTAATTATACTGAAACCATAAGGTCCATTAACATAGAATCTAAACTCAGGCCCAAATATTAGGAAAACTGACTCAGGCCCACTTCGATTAGGGTTCCATCCCTTTCTCGCCGAAGAAGATCCGTGGTATCATAACAGACGGTGCGGCGGTTAACCGGAGAGGCTGGTGGTGCGGATCTCACCCTCGTCTGAGATAAGACACTTTCGACGACTTGGTTTATTAGCAGAATCAGAGGAGTGACCGATATACATACAGTGTAGAAAGAGAGATTGAAGCGGCGAGTGATGACCAGCGTAGCCGGAGCAAGCCTGGACGAAGAAATCTTGAGCAGATCATGTGGCTCCTACAGAAAGGAAGGAGACCACCCAAGGCACATCTGGCCGTATCGGAGACAGGAACATCATAAGATCATCACAACAAGTGAAATAGATAGAAAAACATAAGCAACCGAACTACTACGTACGTACTACCTAGACGATGTCTTCAGGTGAGAGGAGCTATGTAAGAAAGGGGAAACCAACGAAAGAAGAGTAACGTCGGAGCTCCATAACAAAAGTGAACTTCAATGGCTTCGTCCCATAGAGAATAGAAAACTAGGGCGAACACATATCTGCTTATTTGTTCATGGACATATTACTTTTCTTCGTTTCATTTTCTAAATCTTGTTTGTTTCACTATATAACATCAAACTTAAATTGCAAAATAAAAAATCAGATGAAATGAAACCAGGGGTGATTAAGTACTGAAGCAAACAAACCAATCAATTATCCAGAATACAAAGAAGAAATCAACGATGAAGGGAACAAGGGGAAGCAAACAAACTGAAACAAATTAAAGGGAAATTAAAGATAACTCAAAGTCTCACACACCACACCAGAACAATGACCTGCAAGATATATGATTTCCATATCACATCTGCTCTTCTAGCTTCTCAGGCTCTAGCTGCTCTCGTTGTTGTAACTTGACATGTAGTTCAAGTTGGACATGGGAACCATAAATTCATCATTGGTGTATCCAACGAATGGTGCATGGTTAGGGAAATACATGTTTGGATTGTAGTTGAATGCATTCCCGTTTGGGTCAAACTGCAGATCCATGCCACCATCATCATTGCTACCACCAGTAAAGCCAGAGCTCTCCACCATGTAATTCTGAAGAGAATGTTGAGACATTTCACTCATCAACTTCTTTTTCACATCTTCAAGATCATGAATCAGTTTTTGGGTTTCACGCATGTCGAGATCTTTCACATCTTTTTCATACCAGGTGCTTCCTCTTTTTTCTCTCGCTTGTCTCATCACTTCCAATTTCACTCTGGCCTCTTTCTCCTCCTCATGTCTGTCCACCATCTGCAATGATATTCATTCATTTTGTGAAGAAAACGAGATTACATTTCAACATTAATTATTTTTACCTCTAGATGATAATCTCTTAATTATATTTTTTTTTATCAAAAAAAAAAAAGAAAAAAAAAGAAAAAACTTACAAAAGTGAGGACATCGTTGAGATATTGGATATTTAAATCCGGACGAAACTGAGCAAGCTGCAGCCTGTTGTTTGGTTGAAAGGGAACCAGAGAATTGTGGTTACGGTTCAGAAATCGATCGATGAGTTCTCTAACATCAGGATGGCCAAAGGCATACACTTTTCCACCTGGGGAGAACACAATCAACAGAATCTCTGCACCACACAGTGTGCAAAGCTCACTGGCCTTCTTGAAAAGGCCAAACCTTCTCTTTGAGAAAGTCACTTGAAGGTTGCCTACGTTTACCATTTTTTCCATCACTATCTTCTGACGACCTTTGTTACTTCTCACCATTTCTCTCTCTCTCTCTCTCTCTCTCTCTCTCTCTCTCTCTCTCTCTCTCTCTCAAGTGTTGGTTGATTTTACAAGAGCCTCAAACTAATGATGCTTAAGAGGAGACCACCTTCCTATTAGGCGTTTTATACACATAGCAAAATTTAACATTTAGGCCTATAAGGAATCTTTATCCTTTCCAACCCTTTTTTTTTATCACAATTAAATTTTCCCATTTGGGGAATTTTTTTATGTTTATCTCTAAATTTTCTTAAAGATACAGTATTCAAGATAGTTTTAAATGCATTTATCATTGTATTAGTTGTTAGTTTGTTTTTTTGTATAACTTTTTGACAATTGTATGCATCAACTCTCCATATGAGGTCCATTAAATTATTTATGAGCTAGCTAATTTATAAAGACTGTATCTATATCTTTTGGGGAAATTTTGTGAAAAAAGATTCTCTTTTAATTAATTAGAACCATTTTTAGTCTTTCTGTATACAGAAAGAGAAAAATTATCTATTTTTGAGACATTAATTACAAGCATCGCCACATCATAATCTAGATAAAATATACAGTTGTAATTTTAATAATAAGATTGTGTCATAAGTAAATTTGAGTTATGGGACCAAAAGTTGTAAGATAGATATTAGATATATGCAATTTACTAATGTTAATTTTTCTTAATGATAAGCTAGTGAATTAAATAATAAAATTAACATTTATAAAATATAAGTAAAGTGTTTTATACTTAAATAATATTGTAGATTTTTTTTTTTCTGTCAACAAATAATATCGTAGATTTTATCACCATCTTTGTTTTGAAGATTACAATAATTGAATTTATCCATTTTATGTAAAACGTTACCGGGTTCTTTTGTAGCATGTGTGATCAGTACCAAAAGAATAATCACGAGGAGCAAATCTACTACTACTAAATTAATAAAAGAGACGTCTCCATGAGTACACATCAGCAAAACAGAAGACATCTATGAGGACGCCACGTAATCATTTACACATCAGCAAAATAGAAGACATCTATGAGGACGCCACGTAATCATTCTCTCTTTGTCAAATGATAGAGCTTAAGTGAGAAAAGGATCCTCTAGAGGCCGAGAAAGTGGATTTGGGCGTTCAGACTCACATTTAGTTTCAAGAAGCTTTGTATGCGTTGATTAAGAAGATGATGATGAATACGAGAAATCATTATCTGCTGAAAACTTAAGAAGGTGTTGCATCTCAAGGCATGTTGGTTAAGTTTATGATTCTGGAAATATTTTTTTACCCAATCATGTAATAAGGGCTGTAATGTGCCACATTTGAGGACTGTAATGTTCTATTTTCCTAGTAGATGTGCATGTCCGTATTTCATAAGTTGATCAAGAATTGAAGCTTCCTCTATGCGGCCATGACCACGAGGGTTGGGGAGACACTAACCCTGCAACTGTAAGCCCTAACCAGAAATCAACACGTGGCTAATACGCCAGACATTACTTCGCACCTCTTTAACCGCCACGTAAACATTCGAATAACCACGTGTCAAACATTAACCGCTTCTCTAGTGAAAGAAAGGGATCACACCTCTCTCTTCTCTAATACCTATAAACTTCCTCCATGGAGATTGGAACCACAAACATACCACAAATCAGAAAGGTTAAAAATATGGGAATGATGGAGAACAGATCGGTTATGATGATCATGATGCTTATGCTGGTGATCATGCCGACATTGCAGAAGGGGTGCTATGGATGGGGAACAGAGACGGCAGAGGATATGGTTAGAAGCGAAGCAGAGCATGCTAAAGACGCACCCGAGACCGCTAAGGAAATGGCGAACGACGCTAAGGACAAAACCGCCTCTTGGGCTGGTTGGGTTTCCGACAAAATCACCACGTAAGCCTAAACTTTTGCTCTGGCGTGATCGTTCTTTTCTTTTAGATCTGTGTTGGTTTCTTTTTATGGAACTAGGCCATGTATATTGTCTCTCTCTAGTTTATTAAAAGAAATAAATTGTAAACGTAAATTTGAACTTTGTTTATTCAGAATGTTTCTTTAGGTATGAAAATGCATATCACTATTAAGTGATTTCATATTTTTTATATACTGATCGATTTAAGAGCCCTCTCTCTTTTGTTTTATTTCCTTTGTTATAATATATAGAGGATTGGGAAACAAGAAAGATGAGGCAGAAGAAGCGGCGGAATCTGCGAAGAACTACGCTTATGACCAGGCTGTATCCGCCTATGACAATGCGGGTTACGCCAAGGACTTTGCATCAGACAGAGCCAGATCTGCTTACGATAGTGCTCAAAACGCAAAAAAATATGCGTATGATAAGGCTGGTGATGCAAAGGATATGGCCTACAATAAGACCGATCAAGTTAACGAGGCCTTCGAGAAGGCTGGTCAAGCCAAAGACATGGCGTACGACAAGGCTGGTCAAGGTAAGGACATAGCCTACGACAAAGCTGATCAAACCAAAGACATGGTTTATGAAAAGGCCGGTCAAGCCAAAGACATGGCCTACGACAAGATGGGATCAGCATACAACAAAGCCGGTCAAGCCAAAGACGTGGTCTATGACAAAGCCGGTCAAGCCAAAGACGTGGCCTATGACAAGGCTGGTCAAGCTAAGGACATAGCCTACGACAAAGCCGGTCAAGTAAAAGACACGGCCTATGACAAGGCCGGTCAAGCCAAGGATAAGGCCTATGACAAGACGGGATCAGCCTATGACTTGGCCGGTCAAGCAAAAGACATCGCCTATGACAAGGCTAGTCAAGCAAAAGACATGGCTTACGACAAGGTCGGTCAAGCTAAGGACATGGCTTACGACAAAGCAGGATCAGCTTATGATAAGGCGGAGGAAGCCAAGGACTTGGCCTATGACAAAGCGGGATCAGCCTCTGAGATGGCTGGTCATGCTAAGGACTTTGCCTATGAAAAGGCGAGGGACGCAAAAGACGCTGCTTATGACAAAGCGGATGATGTGATTAAGATGGCTACGGATAAGAGTGCTGAAGCTAAAGATAGTGCTCATGGAGCATACGAAAGAGTCAAAGAAGGGTCTAAGAATGCAAAAGACATGGCATCAGATAAAGCTCAGGATGTTAGAGAAACGGCAGGGCGAGCAATGGGCTATGCTAAAGACAAAACAACAGACGCATACGGATCAGGGAGCGAAGCAGACAGAAGATTCGAGGAGGCCTTGCATAAAGTTGGGGAAAGGTATGGTGGAGCTAAGGATTCGACTTCGAGAAAGACAAAAGACGCTTATGAGAGTGCAAAGGAGGAGGCTTCTGATGCTGCTGGAGAGTACGGTTCATATTTGAGAGACCGTAGTGCTGAGCTTTAGAACCGGAGAAGTTATATACGTCTAGGGTAAAAGCTAAACTATGCATTTAGATTTCAAACCTTCGTTTGTGAAATAAAATTTCTTATATGTATGTGTAATATATGTATATGTATATGTAAGAATGGTGGAGTTGCTTGTATTAGTTTCAAAAGCAGATTCTGAATTTAAGTTTAACCGTTTATTTAATCTGGATATAAAGACTGCATATTCAATCTCGATACAAACGATCCATACATATCAGGATGAAGTATAAATTTAGTAGCATTTTAAATTATATCAATTGAAGAGATTTATCTTCAGAGGGAATAGATGCGAGAAACTTTTTGAGACGCCTGTTGTAAACACAAGGTCTTTCCAAATGTACCAAATGCCCTGCCTTCTTTATACTCTCTATTGTTGCATTCTCCCCTATTTGTCTACGAAATCAACAATGACCAAAATTAGGAAAATATCAAAAAAAGTTCAACTGGCAGTAATTGCAAAGTTTTAATATCTTCAAAACTTATTACTCTTTCATATCTCTAGCCAATTCAAGGTCAAAGATTTGATCACTTTCACCCCACAAGAAATGTATTTTCTGCATACAGACTTGAAATGTTAGTATATAGTCGAATAAAAACAAATGAATGAATATAGATGAAAAGAACCAAAAAAAAAAAAAAAAACAAATCAATGTATGTACATATAACTTTTTCATACGTACCCGTGGGAAATGAGGGATTTGCGCGTCCTTGTTGCTGACGACAACAGCCTCTAACAGTTCAGCTCTTTCCTTCCTATTGTTGAACATTACCTACCAATTTCACCAGTAATACAGAATTTAGAACCCATACGTCAACATAACATTTCTTTATTCAGCAAAAAGTCTTTAAAAAATATATAATAGAAATTCTAGTTAATAAGATACCTGGTAGACAAATATAATATTGCTACCCAAATATAAATACAGGATATAGTTGAGAGTAGTTGAACCAATTATAGCTAACCTACCATATTCTATATATGTTCTATATAACCTGCTATATGTAGATTTATCCATATTTTCGTCACTTGATTCTAGATAACGTTAGGCGAACGAATTAGAATGAAGAAAATGTTAAAAATTCAACTCATTCTCAAATGAAGAGTATAAAAATAACATGAAATTAACTAAATCTGAAATTTGAACTTATGAATAGATAAATAAATAAACAGAGTAACATATACAGAGTTGGTTTATTCTATGCAGGAGAGGTTAGTTAAATCTAATAATAGTGGTTTTATAAGAACTTTGAGAATCCAATCCCACTAATACTAGATTTTAATAAAACAACGTAATCAATGAACTCCAAATATTGATGAATAATAATGGATCTAAATGAAATTGGCAACATTACTCCATATATTGTCTAGGCGCCAAAGTTAAGAGATTTGAGATGAAGAGGCAAATATACTTCGCGAGTCCCACCTAACTCTCACACTCACTCGTTCTTAGAAACGTGATCCATATGATTTTAGTATATCCTTGCGACACTCAAAATATTTATCATAATATATGGAACATTAAGTTATTAACGGAACATTAAATATCTTATCATATGATTGGTTATTAACGGAACATTACGTTAATGCAGTATCATGACATCTACTATAAATGATTTTTCACTAAAAGAAAAGAAAATAATTTAATTAACTTTGTGGGTAGTAACTAATAATTACGTACCTTGATGTAGTCTTTGAACAATCGTTTAGGGAACCACAAGGGTTTATGCACAGCAATGGTGAAGAGAGCCTTAAGTCCCTTAACCGAAGTCGGCAACAATAGATCCGTGGAAGAACTAAACCCTAACCGGTTCAAGCTAGACTCATTAATGGTGTCGGTCATTGTAGGAATCGAACCTGACACAACGATTGCTCTAACCATGTCCGGGTAAGCCTCAGCGATCTTGAAAGCCACCATGCCTCCGTAGCTAAACCCTACAGGAACAAACTTGTCCACGCCGAGGACACGAAGACCCTTGACCAAGCAGTCGGCTTGAAACCCCGGAGACCGGTCCGGGTTGTCGGAGTAGGATCCACCGAAAAAGAGGAGGTCCGGTATGTAAACAGAGTATTTCTTGGATAGTGCACCGACTTGGAACTGCCACGTCACGATTCCCTCGCCGGCGAAACCATGGATTAACAAGACGGCAGGTTTTTTCGGTTTATCCGGTTTGGTTGGTTTTCCTGTACCGGGTTTCTTCTTTAGGGTTTCCTTGGGGACCCAATAGTTTACCTTCGTCCCTGGTTCGATTTCTAAACTGTATGGAACGACGCCGGCCATTTTCATCAGACCATACAACAATGGTTTTTGTGCCTCAACAAAGTTCACCATCTTTAAACTTTTTTCTTTTCTTCTTCTTTTTTATTTTTGTTGAGAAGTTTGAAGGGAAGATCAAATGGGAAGTAACATTATATAACCTATAGACTTGGCACTTGGATTTGAATTTATCAAAAATGTGTTTGGTGTTGGGTTGTTAACTTTGTCTGTTGTTTCTTTTTGTAATTAGTCTCCTAATTGCGTACCTGTGTAGAAGAAGACACTAATTCGTTTAGTATATTGGCTTTAAGCCACCGTTGTGGGAAAATAAAAATAAAAATTGATTGAGAAAAAAAGAAGAAGAAAAGAGAGTTCGTTGGATCTAATTACAGTTGGGGGAGTAAGCGGGTGGATGACCTGCACATCCTACTTCTATGTCCCTATGTTACAGTTTCTTAAGTAAAATATTGCGTAGCAGATACGTAAGATTGTATTTGTTTGTAATATGTAGTTGTCTTGGTAACATAAGAGTTTCAAAAAACCATTCAGTTTGGATTTTATTTGACTTTGAATGGAGGGCTGAGGCCCAAATAAAAAATGACTCATATGGCTAAACACCTGTTTGAACTTCTATCATGTTTCCGGAAACATCTTGGCATCATCACATATGATTTTAAAGCCGATTGTTCCTACCATTTAAACAAGTCATGAAACTGTCAAATACTACAAAATAACACGATTTTTTTCAAAAAAATAAGAACTAAAACACGTTATGAAAAGGATAAATATTCCTCACATGCAGTTGGCAGTAACAGTGTTTAAGCAGAGCACACGAAGACCCAATTGACGGTCAAATTTCCAAGACAATTTGGGTATAACACGACAAACTTTCATTTTTGTCCACCCTGCCAGATATGTTCTTGGCTGAATCATCATTTGTTTGTTTTCCCTCATTTTTTATTTTTAAAAAATTGTGAAACATAAAAAATGCATTTTGAGAATATTATAGCAAACCTCACAAACTAGACGTTTTAGAAAGACATTTGTGAAGATAGATAGTATCTGAATCCCAAAACATTCACATTCTCCGTATAAAATCTAAAGATGCAAAAAAAAGGAGAATTAAAGGAATATGTAATAATATCACTGAATATTCATGGTCAAAGTAGGACACACATCATAAAAAGTTTATAAAGCAAGCTATGTATCATTAGTTCATTACCCGAGAGAACATTTAAAAAGTCATGTAATGAAAACACAAGTAGCTTCATGGAGTACGAACTTTAATAATAAACAAAAAAACAAATAACACTTACACATAGACCAAAAAAAAGACATTCAATATGTAATATACTATAAAAGAGTAAAATAATTAAGAATATGACCAAAGCTAAGATTTTTCTTTTTCGTTAAAAGGTATCCAAGGCTAAGACTTATGAGGGGGAAAATTAACTACGGACTGATCACTCATCACATCGTAAAATCGTGGACAAGGCTGGTCCGGTCGGCGACGTTGAGCCTCCAAGACAAGAACGGGTCGGCCGTGACGTCATGATCAGCGTTACCAACGAATGAGTATTCGTTATTCGCCGGCGAGTAGTAAGGCATTCTCTGCGTGTTATGCTGCTGATGGTGGTGTACCCAAGGCGACGATGAAACATATTGATTATTACTGTTATAATCATAATAATTTGCACCCCCGTGAGGATCCGAAGTTGGAACTCCAGCCGCCGTTGGTCCTCCGCCGGTGGTCGAGTTTCCGGCGGTCGATGCCCGTCTCTCTTCTTTCTTGAATCGGATTCCACACGCGTTACACAACGACTGATCAAATTAAAGATCATATAAAGTTATTAATTATCCAATACTATTGGTTGACTAGGGGTCTTTTGAAATAAAAATGAGCTTGAAAGCTACAAGTTTAAGTTTTGATATTTGAAACATGGGTAGTAGAATAAAAAACGTAGAAGTGGTGTCAAAGGTTATATGTTATTTACCTTGGGACCTCTTGGACCGTTTCTCCAAAGAGGAGTAGAAGTGGTGTCGCAGTTGGCGCAACGGCGAGCGAGGAGGTTATTACCGCCGCCTCCACCACCTTTCTTGGCACCGTTCAAGAAGTCCCAGCCTAAGGCGTTGGAGGTATGAGAAGAGAATCTACGTTCATCGTCATCGTTGCAGAGGCGAGTGGAGGGAGTTCCAAGCGAGAGAGTGCAGTCAACAGAAGCATAAGGAGAGGAATGATGGACGACGTCATTTTCAGAGGAGAAGAAAATTGAGAAACCCATCATTACACGTAGAGATATGTGATCGTGGAAGCCCTAAAAGGTTAGATATATAAAGAGAAGAGAGAGCCAGAGAGAAGTGTGTGTCTTGTGTTTTTTATTTTTGGTGGTTTATGAGGATGAAGAAGTTATGAGGAGACGGTGAAAGAGGAGTCAGCCAAAACAAAGAAAGAGTCCACGTTGCTGCTGTGAAACGGAGACAAGACGTATTTATAGAGAATTTGGTAACTTGACAAAAGAGGAAAATTTTGGTCCCGGTCTTATGTATGTATGGTTGAATTAATTCATTATTAATTCTGTTCTTTAGATTTACATGTGTTTGCTCCTTTAATTTACTTTGTCTTAAAAGATGTTGTAATGAATTAAATATGGGTTGGGTTTTTGTTCACTTCCAGGAGAACTTTATTGAAGTTTCACCATTTCCATTTCTTTTTAGTGGTGATCATCCACATAATAAGTAATATGTAGAACGTACACACGTCTAATTAGTTTCCAAATTGTAAAATAAAGTTACCAAATACTTAACGAACGATGATTTTACATCTATACAAAACTAATAGTCTAATAACATAAATAAGAATAGATTTCTCATTCAATTTCATAGCTATATATATATAAGTTGCTTTATATTTTTAATAATCCTGTCAATTTATTGAATTTTTGAACGATTTTGCCATAATGTCGGGAAAAACCAGAGACCACGGCTATAATACAACGTTTCATCTAGCAGATTAAATTAGTTTATACAGCTCCAAATATTGGTTTTATTAGGCAAATTCATTGAATATTTATTTGATTCGTGGAGGAAAAGTTAAAATTCCACCCCCAAGTGACCTGACCAGTCTTGTTTAACATAGCTAAGCAAACTACAGTGTTCTGATGTGTTCTAACATCGAGTAAATATTTTAAATGGTAAAGTAAGTAAATAAAATGATAAGTACATCTGCGGTTAAAGCAGGAGAGGCCAGAGAGGGAAGGTAGTCAAAAAGAGGCACGTGACTGGCAATGTCACGGTCTTCCAAGAATCTGGTCTCTCTCTCTCTAGTCTCTTCCCTACGATCACGATCATCTCGAAACCCTCTTTTTTTTTTTTTTTCAGAATCTCTCAGTCTCCTTCTTTCTTGCTTCACTAATGCCTTAGAATGTTGTTACGATTGTGGTCAATGCATGCATGAGGATGAGGGAGATCGTAATCGCCAAGATCGGTGCTTTTAAGGAGTTAAGGAATAAAAACTGACCAATGTTCAAGTTAGAAGTGAAATTAAAAAGGAATAAAGATAAAATGTGACCCAAGTGAGATATATACTTTGCAATGATTTAAAAGCAGTTACATATATTGTGTTCTTTCTTTAGCTTGGTGAGAGAGAGATTCTATATTTTCTGTTGATTGGTCAAAGAAGCAAACTCCAACTCATATTTTAAATTATAAAATTAAAAAGGGTGCAAAGAGAATGAACCCATCAAATGAGTACACTCCCTCGCTCTAATCCCTTATTTTCTTTATCCTTTATCCTTTTTATCTTTTATCTGTTTTTGAATCAAGTAACGAAGTTATGTTGTCTCCAAGAGCAGATCTATATTTTTTAAAAAAAAAATTGAGTTCAAAGTATGGTTTTGTATTAAATAATAAATTTTAAATAAGGTCGACCAAACCAAGTATGCTTTAGGTCAAAATGTGTTACGTTTTATACTATATTTAGTTTATAAGTAAGGCTAAATATGTGTATGTTTTATATTTGTCATATATTTTCTTATTTTTGAATTTTCAATATAAGTGTTTCACTCATTTCATTACAAACATCAACTGAGTTTTGTTAAACCTCACTCGTTCAAAAACACACACACAGAATCAAGAATCAATCGAGTTCGAAGATATATATATCAATACAATAATCTTGTTGGAGGACGTCGTGTGCCGCCAAACACGAGTGGACAAAATACTCGAAACCGGAAAGAGTATGATGCATATTAAAACATTAAACGAACACCAAGAGACCCAGAGAGAGAGGGAACAAAGAGAATCGGATCGGTCTTGAGATTGGTTATTTTTTGGTTCAATTGAGATACGACCACACCGCTTTCCCAAAAGATTCCTCTCTCTCTCTC